CTCACAGTCCCTGCATGCAATTGATGGTAGCTGTATAACCACAGCTTAATGCTCCTTCAGTTTTGTAAATAAGTTATTCTCTGTGTCCGGCTCTTGGTCATTCAAGCACTCAAGCCTGCTTGAGGCCTGGGTTTCGGGAAAGCTCTTGAGCAGAATGAGAGCAAGCTTCATTCACACACATCTCAGTGCAGGCCAAGATCACTTCTAGATCACTTCTACGTGCAAAATGGGTCTGGGCATAGCTGCAGTTGGGATTGTCAGCCAGGTTCTCCATCATTAACCCCAAAACGCCCCGTGACAAAGGCATACAGCCAGTGCCAGTGTGACCAGTCAGCCAGAGCGCCCCAGAGAACAGCCCAGCGCCTTGCACAGCAAGACACAGAGCGGGACCCATCCCCATGGGCTGTCCCCACAGCTCCAGGGCTGCTCCGTCCCCAGGCCCTGGGAGCATGCAGAGATGTGGGTTTTGCATCATTGTGCTTCAACCTACCCTCCACATCACTATATGGACAATGCCCAAATCAGCAGGCACACTGAATACGTCTGCAGCACAAGGGCTCCTGAAAAACTTAAGACTCCTACTTTTGCTCACTTTTTTCAGTCTTTTATCACTTTAAAACCTCTGCAAATAGGTGTGATTTTAGCATAAGACAATCAGAAATGCTGCTGTGTGGAAGCTCAGAGATCACCAGCTGATCATCAGGAAGCCCCATCGTGATTTCTTTGTCTCAGTGAGGGACAGTAATCACATACTATCTGCTGTATGATTTGGGTCTCATAAAAACGTTTCTAAATTAGAGTCCCTTGAAAGGAAGGAAGAAAAACTTGATTCACAGCTTTGCACATACCCAGACAAATATTCATCTTATCGTCAGCTTAGTTTTTGCTGTAGTTTTTCAGGTTCTACAAACTTTTTTTTTTTCTTTTTCTGTCCTTCCTTCCTTCCTTCCTTCCTTCCTTCCTTCCTTCCTTCCTTCCTTCCTTCCTTCCTTCCTTCCTTCCTTCCTTCCTTCCTTCCTTCCTTCCTTCCTTCCTTCCTTCCTTCCTTCCTTCCGAAAGTTTTAAAAAATCCCACTCCTTCAAAAGGGAGCAGGTTCCAAAGGAGACTGCTGGCAACAGTTTTGTTGGCTGCTACAAAAGTTAATGCTCCACCTCCACCCCCCAGCCTCTTTCCTCTTTATTACTACTGGGAAATGTTGCTGACTTTAATATCTGTAAGTTTATTTTTCCCAGACTTTACTTTCCAGATCACCATCTGTCTAGACACTGTCAATTACTAATATATATACTCAAGGTGAGTTTAAGGGTATTCAATATTTTCTTCTCCATGTGATTAAATTTCCAGGCAGTACAGAACCAACCCACTACATTTGTGTTTGTCATTTCAGGCAGATGTCACATCATCTAAAACAAATTAAAGACCTTTTCATCGATTTTTGCTGAAACCAGCATAGAGAGGTTGTGGGAAGTACAATGAACTTCAGAGATCTTCTGGAAGGTTTCAGCTATCTTTGCCTTGGGTATCCCCTTCCTAACAATGCTGAGGTGGAAGAACTACAGTAAAGATGCCTCCTCCCCCAGTTGTCTTGATAGCAAAGTCACCTGTTTGTGGGACCACAGTTCCAGTCAGGAGACAAGGATGCCAGGTTTTAGAGAAAAGAGAAGAAAATGATCCAATTTTTTGTCTCTTTCTTTCAAATGTGCAACTGCTGGCTGATGAAGGTTAACTTCTCTGTAACAAATTGTCCAACCCATGTTAATAAACACTGAAGCGTGAAGTACTGGAGCCAAACCTTAAGTTCTGTGCTCTCCAAGTGGCAGTGTTGAAATTGCACTTCTGTACAGCGTACCATCCTTCATCGTTTAAGGATGCTGCCATTTAGCACATCTTCTGCTTTGCTTCCCATTTAGAAGCTGTTCTGGAGTTTGGGAAGCAAATTCAGGACTGAAAACTCCACTCAGATTCAGATACTGAAAATCCCTTTGAGGAGCTGGCTTACCTCTTTATCCCCATTCAGCTCCCTTATCACGGACATCTCCCGTTGCAGAAAGGCAAGGAGCTGAATGCCCGGCAGGCTAAACCTACAGCTTGTTGCATTTTCTCTTTTTCTGGAATGTTCTCAAGTTGTAAGGAAAAAATAAATATTAAGTACCCAAGAACACTTCCAACTGCAGCGTGCCACCTAATGGCCAAACTGTGTGCTGAGAGCAGTAAGGACACACAGCACATCCCAAAGCTCCTCTTCCTTACAAACCACCTGCACGGAGGGGTACCACTGCTGAGGTGGAGGTGGGGAATCAAACAAGCACATTCCTTTGCAAAAACATATAAAATTAAATTAAATCAGGCAGAATTTCTGTTTTAGCAACTTTTGCTAACAAAAGCTATATATAAATATATATATGGTTAGTTGTTAAACAGACCTACGTGCTATATTGTTTCATTCTTTATTTATGGATTATACTAGTTAATATAATTTATTTACCATCATTTCCAAAGTGTACTTGTGGCCTGTCTTATCACCTTTCTCCACTGGTTGAATGTTTATGGAAAAGCAATTCCATGTAGCTCTCTATAATTTTGTTGTTTAATGCATCATAAAATTATGCATGTGCTGTCAACAGTCTTATTAAAAGCAAATGTTCCATATTTTCAGTCTGATTTGCTCTTTGCATTATATATGACCAAACGTCCTACCAGCTTGTAGACAAGGTATCTTTTATAAAAGAAAGTTGTGACAAGCAATTTTTACATTATTTACTACTGTAGAATTCATCTAGCTATTTTTCTGTTACAGTAATGGAAGTAGAATTAATGAAAATAAATTTATTTGGGGTGTAAATTTAGCCTGGAAACACGCAGGGTTAAGCATTTCTACTTACTTTCTCAGGGGAAGATCCATTAATTCAGAAACAAAAATGTGTGAAAAGGTGTCTACTCATCTCGTCTCTCCACACTGAAGAATAATTTGCCAGGATTTACTCATCTCACTTTTCTTAGCTCTGCATCTTACCCAGCTATTCCTCACAGAGCATTCTGAGGCTGAATTATTAAGCATGCCCCAGAACTATTCAAAAGATGCCGGAATACCTGCAGCTGCTGAGGTAGGAAGGTTGCCAGTCCTGAAATATGTAAGAATATTACCTTTAGAAGCACGTCTTTTTTTTTTTCTTTTTTCTATTCAGGATGTGTGTTCTATTAAAAAACCACACAAGACTACAGTGTCATTTTACCATCTCTTACGGCCTTGAATGAAGAGCACACGGCAGCATGGGTACACCTGGACCCCTTCAAATGGGCTACATTTGCCATTTCAATGTTGACAAAAGTTTCCAAATATACTGGCATACATTCCAGTGGAAATTTCTTGGGTTTAAAAAAAATAAAAATTAAAAAATATATATTCCATTGTATTCTTTCTTTAAAAACCTTGTATAAATGTGTGTTTTTGAAGTTCATGACTGGTTTAGCTCCAGCTTTCTGAGAGGGGAGCTGAGCTCAGCGACTGGAAAGTGTCTGCAGGTGATCACTTAGAGCACTGAATCACTCTCCCTCCTCTCCCCACCTCTACAGACCAGCATTACACACAAAGGTTTAATTGGCTTTGATTAGACCAAGCCAAATTAGCACGACATTTGGTCATCTGAGCACCTTCTCCCCACAAAATTTGCTTAGCACTTTGACTGTTTAATTGTACGGTGGGGGTGTGGTCAGAGTGCTCTGGCAGTGCCATAAGCTATTTTTAATTTGAAAATTATGATTCTGTTCCCTTTTGTAGCCCTCCTTCCATTTATAAGAGGACTTGTCTCACCCCCCAAAAAAAGTCTAGGGAACAAAGGACTGTGCAAGTGTGTATCCCTGATTCTTTCATTAGAGGTACTAATGTAATTAGCCAAGGACAATTTGCCAGCAGTAAACTAGTTACACCAACTAGTGTCTTTATATGGTAATTAAAAGGACAATAAAACTAAATTGTACGAACATAGAGCCTCTGGCTATTAAAGCCTTGGACTATTAAAAATTCCTACATAGAAGAGAGGAAGAACAACCACTTGCCCTTTTTTGTTGAAAGAACTACAATCTTAATAGTCGCACATGACCAGACAGCAATAGTGTTTGCCGACGGTAAAGCATTTTGAAAGACAAACTAGCTCGATTCTCTTACTGCTAAACGTAGAGGAACAGACATGTTAGTCATAGCTCCATCTCACAGGAGGCTCATGTAACTTTCTTGGTGAAGGAGCAATTAATATATACCTTAAATAATTGCCAAGACTTTTGCTGAACCAAGATCTCAGTTTGTAAAAGATCTCAGTTTATAACAGGACCCTAGCTAGTTTCTCCTCTGTGCCCAGAGTACATTTCAAACATACAACAAAGGCAGGAAAAGAGAAAGCTCAGAAACAGCAGAAATCTTGGTCTGAAAAGGGCTTTGAATTGAAAGGGAGCCCTACTCCATGGAATTTAGTTACTGGACAAAACTAATAATCAGAACCACCTTCTGATTCTTGTCACAAAAGCTTTCTGTGTTTCTCATGAAGGCAGAACCAGATCCATACCACCATCAACAGAAGTGTAGGTAACTAACATCTTTTCTCAATTACAAATTTGGCAATATTTTGTTACTCATCTTCAAAGCATGAAGCCAATGTTCTAAGCAATTGTGTTTCCCTTCAACAATTACAAGAGTACAATACACTCGTTCTGTTGTATGATGTAAGAGTACAAGTGCAGCCCTGGGGTCTAAGGGCATCGGCCAAAGGGTTGTAGGCGAAGTCTCATCAGTCAGCTACAAAAGACCAGCTCCTTACCCAGAACTCATGTACCTGAAAGCTCCTCTGCTTTTCTGAGAACCTGAAAGTGGCATAATAAGAAGTCATTAAGAGATTAATTCTGTCAGTCTTGCCTAACACGCAGTTCATCCATGGTAACTCCTAAGTAATCATCTTTTATTGTATGAAAATAATGTTTTCTTGGCAAAATAAGAAATTGCAAGGGATTGTGTGTTCAAAATCATGATTTATTGATGTATTTTTAATCGTGTAGCTTCTTGCAAAGATACACTTTATAAATTATGGAACAAGAATAGTTCTTTCCGCAGCTCTTTCAGACTTCAGTTCTCAAGTCCAGGTCCGTATTTCGAAATGAGATGTTCAAAGGCAAATTATGCAAAATGGCTTTAAAAAACTACACTAAAAAGCTGCAGCTCTTTCAGAACCCGAGATACATATGGTAAGCTGTATTACAGTGTCTGCACTACACCCCCAAGCAATATATGCAGGAGAAGCAGCATACGGTAGCTGCACCAATCTCAAGGTACACTTCATGATTAGCAGTACACAGCACCTGAACATCTACAGCAGCCTCACAATTTATCTTAGTACAACAAATGCTCAAAGGATTTACAGCATCTGTAGCGAGGTTAGATGAAGGGTTATAGCACGTTACAAACACGTTTAAGTGAGGCCTGCTTACCCGTGCAGTCAGACCTTGCCAACGCAGAAGCAGTACACACACAAGCGTTTCACCACTGCACTGTGACACTTCCCAAGCAGAGCCACGCACCCTGCCAGCTTGGCCTACAGTACAAGAGGATAGCTCGCTGCCCACGTCCTCCTCCCTTTTACGTCCATCCTGTTGAGAAGGCAGGCTCCACTGAACTTGTGTAAAGCTCAAGTTACGTTTAAGACCAGCTGGAATCACTGCATTGGTGGGGATGTACCTCTGCATTTAAACATTATATTCGTGACTGCTTGCCCTGGATTGTTTTTTCCTTAAGGTTGATGTCAACATAATGCCAGATCTTGAAGGCAAACAAAATAAATTTAATTTAAAGAAAACATTTATTTGAAGTTCTTTTAAGTCACACAGCTTAACAAATATAAAACAGCTTTCTCCCCTTCACATGTCAAGCCTTCACCAGAGACCACAAGCACTGTCCTGTGGACAATGAGATTTTCCTATAACAATTCCTTTTGGACAAACCAGTGTCCGGGCAGATGAAGACTCACATTTTAAGCAGACTGATTTATAAAATCTGTTTAAAAAAAATAAAAACTTTGTTATCAAATTCTTGTCACAACATAAAGGTGTTTAAGCTTGATCTCAAAACGAATCCCCAGCCATAATCAAATGGAACATACTGCCTTCAGAAAAAAGAAACAGAAAAAACTACCAACCCCAGAATTTTAAAATGCTCCAAATATATACACATTTATAACTTAAGTGCTCATTAGCTACAACCTTTTATTCATGCAAGAGTTGTGAGAGGAAAAGGTGTTTCTTAGAGCGGCTTTTCTGAGAATGCAGTAAAACTCTTCACTCGTGCAAAGAACAGAGGGGTGTACATCTTGTCAATGTCAAAAGTAGTAACTGCTGTCTCACCAGTCGATCTGCAAAGAGCATTAGAGAAGTTAAATCAGACACAAGTTGCCGTTTAACTCCCTCAATTATGCAGTCAAGTTCCACAGTATGGCACGTGCAAACTACAGCTGGAATGCATGTATCTTTCACACCGCCTCGTTCTGAAAGCACGTGAATGTTGGCTAGGTCACACCATGCAGAACACTTTGCGTGGCTGGATTCTGTGGTCTGCAAGCACCAGAGTGCCCACACAGTGGGTGCAGGGACCCTCACATAGTGGTGTTTACAGCTTGCACGGTCACAGGACAACAGAGATAGACCTTAATGAATATAGGCTTTCCACACACTTTTACTGGCATCACACTGAAGTCATTTGAACACTGTGTATGGATCCTTTAAATGACTACAATGCTGCAACTCAGCTACTCAGCACTTACCATACCACTAAAAAAAGTTATTCAGATCTTGGGATTTCTTAAAGTTCACTACAATACATCAAATCAGGACCAGCTACTGTTTCCAGGACATTTTGTTAGAGCCTCATCAGTCTCAGAGCCTACACATTTTCTGAACCTAAGTTCTGGATAAATTCATGTCACATGTGTTTCTACAATTAAGTATCCTTCTTTGATCTCACTCTGCATTTACTTACTTGTAAGTTATGTGACAAGAATGATGTATCCAAACCAGTTTGTTGAACCTCTGGCGCCCACTGGAGCACAACTGCAGCCCTACATGAAAACTGTGATCTGTTTCTTGTACAGGAACACGACGGAAGTACCTGTATTTGTGGTAGTCAATTGGTTTCTGTGCAAAGAAAATAGTTTTGAATTTAGATGTTGATTATAGAAGTTTTCACAGGAAAATACGAATGGAAGACACCACCCAAACTACATAAACTCGCTGTAGAGTAAGGTAACACTACTAACTCATTTCTTTTCATTTGATGCTGTGCAACATCTATGTGCATGGTCAAAAACTGATCTCAAAATGACCTCTTTCCACCCTTCCCTCCTGTTTGTTACAAACTACCTAACAGCACCTCACATGTCAATTCAGCCTAAAGGGGAGAACCATTGCTCAACTGTGAACCAAATATTTATGTCTTAATCAGGATTATTACAGATTCCAGGAAAAAAGACAATTCATCACATTTATGTATTTATGTTAAACATTCTTCAACATTCATTTTTCAATCCTCTGGTGTAATACAAATCTTTGTGAGCCTTAAAATATTCAGTCTGAGACTTATTAAAAAGCCCTCTCCTTAAATTACTTTTCTCTATTCTGTGTGTTCTACTGACCTCTTCCTTTTTCTTCATTATTACAGCAAATACTTTGGTTTGATTGTCTGTTTCCTGGGAAAGACGATAATGGCCAAGTAAGATTGCATCCGTTCTGGAAGGTTAAGAGAAGTATATCGTCAAGGGCAAAGAAGTTCGTTGTCCCAAAAGAGTTTTCTACAAATGTCAGTAATGAAAAGATAACTATGTATCATAATCCAGGAGGCCTATTTTTACTTGCATTTGGTAAATACCAGGCTCATTTTTAGTATGAAATCAAGAAATCATTTTTGGAAGGCTGCTTTAATTTTCCCAGATAGAACTGATGAACTTATTATCGTTACTGTCCTGTCCAGCCTACTGCTAAGTATTTTCAGGTTTCTGGTGAACAGCTCAAGCCTGTTGTGATGTCCCAAATGATTTTCTGCATTTTTAGTAAGTTCATACAAATATCAAAAAGAAATCAGGCAATAATTTACACAAGTCCCACCAAAAACTTCACTGTCCTTCACAAACACAGTCAAGGAAAGGGGAGAAAGCAGTTGTTCTCAGTAGTTTTCGTACAACATTACATTTTTACCCTCGTTTTGCTAAGCCCAGATATAGAATTGGACACAAAAGTAAGTGGAAATTGCCATGGAGAAGCAATAGGGAAACTGTACAGCTAAATATTTTCTGTCACTAACCTTGTATTTTTAGTCCGTAAGCGAGGAACGATGGATTGAGGATCTTCAGGAGTTGTTAGCATCATAACTTGACCATCTGGAAAGAATCTCAAATACCTGCAAAAATATAAATTACATAATATAAATCTAGATTTATTTATTTATTTATTAAATCACTGGATGTTTTACAGAAGGAGATAGCAGAAAAAAAAGATCAAAACCCAAAAGGCAGTTCTGAAGATTAAAAGACCAAGTTATGAGGAGTTATGCAAAAGGACAGCAATTTGGGAGCTTCGCCAGCTCTCATTAAAGCAAGGAGGCTATCCTGGAGTCAAAACTCCAGTCAATAAAGTTTTCTGGAGGCTGGAGTCAATAAAGTTTTCTCCATTCCCAGCACCTATTGATAGATATGCAATAAAATCTTAATTACAGTGTTAGTATGAAATGGACAATGTCACATGGTCTTTTTCAGGATCTGGGATCTGATTAATTTTTACACTACCCAGACACCATCTTGATGTTTGAGAGACTCTTAATAGCCATGAGATTCAACAATTTCTATTAAGTTTCCAGCCTCGGAAGAGACAGTGGAGTGGAACAAACTTAGTGAACAGCAGAATGAAGGACAAAAGAAAAATAGCCCGAAGAAACCAATAGCAAGGTATTTACAGTAAGTTGAGAAAGCTCAGCCTCTGGATTACTTAAAACTGGTTACAAATGAAGTAAAAAAACAGCTCTCGTATAATCACTTGTTTTCCCTTTGCTAAAAGCAATTATTATATCAGAAATGTAAAACAGAAGTGATTTGGGGAATGAAATTTGTGTATTAGTGTTATTACTGTTGAACTTCTATCCACATGAAACAGCATAACCGAACATGAAATGTGTTTCTAAGCCCGCCTCTAATTATTGTAACAGGCACTATTTCTTAAGACCTGTTCTCAAAAAAATATATATAGCCTTGCACACAGTAAGAGCTCCACTGAGTTTTACAGGGTGATTAATGTTTGAGATATCAAGGGCTGGATCTAAAGAACTTAAGAGAGAGAAACATTTCACTCACTCATTGTACTACAGTTCTACCTGTAATATTCCACTTGGTGCCATGCTCTATAGAAACCATCAAGAGATTGTTCTCCTTGGCGTATGTACTGTTGTCTTGCTGATGTACACACCTACAGGAATGAAGGAAATAAGTATAGGAACAAAAATAAAATGCATAAAATACTTAAGATTAAAAATGGTAACCCAAAACTTTTGAGTTTTTGTTACTTAAATACACTGGAAGTTTTTTGTTTGTCCTGTACACCCTCCCCTTTATTTTTACAGATATTCTACAGATTCGTAAGATTTCTGTGGGATTTCGTACATATTCGTACAGATCCTTGGCCCACAGAATCACAGAATGGTCAAGGCTTGGAAGGGAGCTCTGGAAGGCACCTGCTCCAAACCCTCTGCTCAAGCAGAACCACCCGGAGCTGGTTGCCCAGGACCACGTCCAGGCAGGTCCCAACAAATTCAGATCAGGTCTAAGAATGTCAAACATAAACCCCATCCAATTGTTCCTGTCACAGTTACATGCAGTAACAAGAATCTGTTTCCCAAAGTACACCTCACCATCAAATCGAACGCGAGGCCTTTCCAAAAACATTTCCCTCCAAGAAGAATATGGAACAAGCTTATTGCAACTCCTGCCCCACACTTTCAAACAGACTTGGTGCCAGATTTCAGGATCTCTAGTAAAAATAAGAAAAAAAGTAAAACTTTTAACTCAAAACTTTCCTGCAAAATTTATCTTTTATGTATCAGAGCAACAAATGCCTTTAATTTGGTTTGAATGCAACTGAAATAAACTTTCTTGAGTTACTGTGGCTCATAGAGTACCATAATTTAACATCGTTCATTCCCTTAATTCTGGAGCATTTGAAAACCGTTTCCTTTTCCTCAAGAAACCCAAGAACACAATGTAATTTTCAGCCAAGTACAGAAGAGCACTTCATCAGTCTGGCACTCCTCTCTGTGGCCACGAGGATAATGACAAAATATACATTCTAGGAGACCCTGCAACTCTGACTTTCAAACAAGGCAGAAGAAATAATGCTTTCAGCAACTTTTATTACAATTTATTCATCTAACATACCAACCAGTGGCATACTCAAAAGCTGATTAACTGTGAGGAGCATAACACAGTACTTGCCATGGGAAGAAAATGCAGGACATGGTCCTACACGTACGATTTAGTGGGCTGCAGGAAAAACAAACCAATGAAAGAAAACAAAAAACCTGACCCCTTCAATATTGACAATTTTGTTCTATGAATTTGTCATCCACCTCTACATACTGTTTATATATGCTTGCGCATGAAAACACCTTTTTTCTTCCTTAGAGCAGAGAGAAGCTTTACTCTAGATAAATTATCTACAATACCTGGCACAAATGTAAAATCCTCGGCAAACAAGAGATAATTGCTCTAATGATCTTAGGTCCAAGTCACTTGAAACCACCCATCGGAAGATGTACATCAGTACTTCCAAAGGCAATGCTGCAAATAGAAAACAGTTTCTTGTTAGATTGTAATGTGTAAATCAATAGTTTGTCTGCATTTCAGTTACAGACATTCTGACTTTCCACAAAAAAAAAAAAAAATAATATCTGTTTTTCCACACTGCTTCCAGATATCAGGGAGGCTACCAAGAACAGTCTCCTTTAATAAGGAAGTTAAAATATATATTAGAAAAAAGTAACAAAATGGAAAAAAAAATCAAAAGTTAAGACTCAATTGCATTATGTTAAAACAACAGGATGTAGTGTTAGACTACAAATATGAGTACTTGTAAGGTACCAAATTCCACATCTACATTCCACATTCAGTGTCTATAAAGCTGCTTTTTTATTCCAACTGATCTAAAGTGTAACATTACCTCAAAGCATACTGCTTTGGCAAGACAAGATCAGATCACGTTCCATATTGGATAAAAAAAAATCTAAGAACAATGTATCCACCACAAAATTGGTGTCATATCACTGTATTTCGTGGTACAAGTCCAGTGATGTTAGGAAAATGTTAGTGTTATCATATGTTACAAAACGTTTTCACAGAGCATTGCTTAAAAACGTCTTCTAATGTACTAGTAGATAATGACAGAATCCTCATCAAAGCTCCACAAGATCATATGAGAGTTTTCCTAGCATTAGAAATTCAGTGAGAATGTCCTGAGAATTTTGGTTTCATTTCCTTCTTATAACTTTCTGCCTCCCTGTGTTTTCTGTTTCAGTTGTTAATAATCTTGTTTACTGATCTTCTATTGTTAGGGATCGCATTTCATTTATTTTCAACAAGTGCTGCTTTCTGGGACCTATGCCTTGACCTGTAGCACCACATCCACATAAGACTCAAGGACTTTCCTCAGTGTAACAGCTAACAGCTTTGAGCGAAATTCAAGAGAAAATAGCTGAGGCACAAAGGCACATTAAACAGTAACTACCTGTAAATACCATGGCAAAGATTGCAGTTTACCTAGATTTTTGGCTTTTAGTGTAAAATCAAGCTTCTTAAAAAAAATGTTGCTGCACTCCCACAAGTGATAACTGATAGAGAATCAGATAAAAAACAGGAAACACAGAAATACAGATCCCTTCACAGAACAACACCTCTCTTACTGAAGAATTATAATAGATATGTGTAAACAAAAAATAAAGACAACACAAACCATAAAAAAATATATTAAAAACATACATACATTAGAAATACATAAATACATTAAAAAGGTTGTAGGTTTAAGGCAAAACCATCCATGAAAAAGTAGATATAACTATAAAAGTAAATAAAGGGATACTGTATACTTTTCTCTAAAATTACCTTTAGAATGAAAAAGGTAAATGTTTTAATAAAGACAAGTGAAACACATGATCTATAAAAATTCTTCCTCTGAACTCCTGAAGTCCACCTTAGCTCATACCTGAGATATGGGTCTGGTTAACATCAAGCTCAGGCTGACAAAGTTTGACGGAAGAGTCCTGAAGAGTTAACTGTTGCTGGAAATCTGACAGGAGATCAGCCATTTTGCCATCCTCTTCGTTATCCTCAACACTAGAAAGAGAGAATGCCAAAACTTTGATATCAGACATAACAACAGGTGTCCTTATCTTTACACCAATTTGCTAGATCATATTTAAGTTGTATGTTGCAATACGATCCTTTAACAGGCTCATGCTTGCTTGCACAAAGTAACCACAAACCACACAACTCTCCTTCATCTCATCACAAAATACTTTCCTTCTCCTGTATAGGGATACAGAGTTGCTGAAAGATCTTCCAGTCACTTTTTAGTATCATTTAATTCTACTCCAGACAAGCTTAATGGAATGAGCTGAGAATAAAGAGCCCAGTCAGCAACTAGCAGACCTATCAAAGGGTTTTAAAACATAAAGAGAGGAGAATTATGTTTGGGCCTGTCGTGACTAAAACCGTAGCAAGGTGTTATACTCAACAAACCTTCCTTTATTTTGATGATTACAATGGAAAGCCCCAGTACCTACAGGACACACTGTAAATTGTTTTACTCAGGTTTCAATACTCTATGCACTTAATTAGTAAATTTTCACACTTACCACCTCTTTCCAACTCCGTCACCATCTGGGGACCGTGTATAGGTGATCCTAAACTCTATGTCAGGTACAAGCTGCATGGCTAGACGATAAAACTTGATGGCTGAAAACAAAAGGTGTAATATTTAAATGTGTCTGATGCCTATATGTTAAAAGCAAACATTTCTTTTCAGAGAGATGACTTTGACTAAGAGTATTAAAAAACGCGGAAAATGTCTTCGCATAGTAAATCCTGCTTAATCTAAACTGATTAGGTATAAATTCATTACAGAAGAAAGACAAATCAAACACTGTCAAAACTAAAAACTTCATATACTCTTCCATAATAACAATTTCTCACATTTCAGCCTTTACAGATTTGCCTTAACCACTAAAAAAAAATAAATCAGTCATGGAGGACAAAATTTGACAGTACATGCTGTAAGTCCTCATTTTGTTTGTTGCAAAGGACTTAAAGTTTTTCCAACAAGCCATAAAGCTTTTAAGCATTGATGTCATAAATAACCTAAAAAAAAAAAACAAATTTTAACATAAATTTGATCATAAAACCTAATAAATTTTAACATAACTAAATTTTAACATAAAACCTAATTTGAAAGAAGATGTAGGTATACCTTAAATTCCCAATGTAGTACAGACAAATATTCAGACATACCTGACATTATATAGGTGAAATCTCAAACAATATTGTTGTATGTTTAAAAAACGTCAACAAGAGACCCAAAAGAAATACATTTTACCATGGAAGCTACAGAAGGCACAGGAGCAAGCCACTCAAAACTCTGAGGATGAGGAACCTGACTGGTTTGAAAGCAGCCTTTTCAAAAAGCAAACAAAAGACTATGGGATGTGAGAGAGAACTGACAGCTGGGGCTTCATCCAGCACTCAGGAGAAAGTACTTCTGCCTTTAACACTCCAAAGATGCTACAAACACTGAGCAGAGAAAGAGGCAAAGGAAAAACACCCTCTGTGAAAGAACTGTTACTTAAGCTGCAGCATGGCTTTCTTCTGAGTTAACTCTGTGGATCCTTCAGAAGGCAATGGGTTCATTGTACATGCACACGTTATCTTAACACCAGTATTAAAAAAGACTGTGTTTATATGCCTCTTACATCCCCACATGATTACTCCCATGTGATGATACTAAGGCCAGATGGCCATTCTCCATCAGTTTGGACCTTTAAAAAAGAACCAAACCAAACCATTGGTGAGTTTGGAGCTCAGAACTTGTTACACTAATGAGTCTGAGAAGCCTGAGTTTGGGGTAAGTGTTCGTGTTCCCTTGAGTGCTTGTCAGTGCTGCTGACTGACAGCTAGTATCCTGTGGCTGGGGAGGATAAGGAATAGCAGCAGCCTCAGCTGAACAGATCATTCTTAACTTTAGCATTTAGACTCCAAGCTAGGCTTGTACTGTACTTGAGCATGAAGAAGCTGCCTCACATAACTGCCTCACAAACAGTCAGGTATCAGCAGACATCAGAAGCAGGCTTAAAATGTCACTTGGATTCTGGAGAACTGGGCCAGGTCAGCAGATAAAAAGTGTGGTCTGAAAACAGCTGTCCCAACACATGCTCAGTAATTTATCTGTCTGGTGTAGGACCTTGCTTCTGAGGTCTCATATGGATGTACGTGTAGGAACAGTCCTCCCAAGCAACTGCTACATGTATCAAGGCCCTGCTTCTCATGATATGGCTGAGCATCACTTGCTGGTGGGAAGTGGAGAATAATTGTTTTCTCCTTTTGATTCTGCATGCCTTTTTTTTTTCCCCTTTAAGCTAATGCTAATACTTTTAGATTTCAAAATACTCTCATGTTTTATCCACAATCTAGAAATCATTTCCTTGATTCTTTCAAGCTTAGATCTGTGATACAACGGTTCCTTTTACAGCAAGGTTGTTTGCTTATCCAAATAATTCTCAAATTACTGTTAGCCTTCAGTTTAAGTTCACTGTACTGTCATCATGCACTCTTACTCATAAATTAGTAGGTTAAATTATTCTGCAGCAAAGACACTCACTACAGACTTCCTATTACCTTCATAAAGGGCCCCATTTTGTTCTTCTTCTACCGCCTTCAGGAAAAGTTCTTTTGCCTGCAGAATAAATTACACAGAACACTTAAGTTGGTTGTAAATACAAGAGCAATGCCATTTGATTTAAAATTAGTTTTCATCTTAGCTACTATACTCTACAAAGGAGCACAAAATAACTCTATACTTAAGATGATAGAGCATATTCATAAGCGACAAGCCAGAACTGAAATTCCCAAACAACAATCTCTCCAAGTTCTTTAAAAAAAGATTTAAACAAGTTTAAAAAAAAGTCCCACCAGCCTGGATCTGGATCACAGCATGGTGCTGGAAGTGTAAGAAGTGAAGAAAGTTAACAAAACTATTCTGACTGGATCACAATCCTCTCACCGTGACCCACTTTTTGCAGGGTTATATAAATTAATTCTTTTCAGTACTTGGACTCCTTTAGAACAGCAGCTGGACTTGCAGCTATGACAATGCTTTGCAAAGCTTTGTAGCTTTACAAAACCAGATAGCTACCCATTCCAAAAGGAGCTGGCGAGATGGAAAAGAACCAAAAAATAGCCTAAGCCCCATCTTAGGAAATAAAAGACACGATTATTGAAGTAGTATTGAAATACTTATGAGAAAATTCAATGCTATACTTGGGACAGAAAATAATAGAATCATACATTTATTTTTGTACCTTTTCCTCTTTTGCTATCTCCTGTTTCCCTCTGGTATCTGCAGACTTCACTCCAGGTCCTCTTGGCGATGCTCTGCATGGCGGAGTTTCCAACCCACTAGAACTCACACCTGGGGCAAGCTCAAACATCCACTGAGCTCTGAACATCTGGAGCTCTGCCTAAAACATCCGATTAATTCCAACTTAGTATCACATATTCAGACAGTACGTCTTCTAAGCAGAGATTATACAGTACTAACACACAAAAGAATTCCAAATTATGCGTTACACTTCCAAGTCTTAAAAGGTTTCAGTGGGTTCAGGCATGGAATTAGCAATTGTTTTATAGTAAATTTTTTAAAAAGTGCACGTGCATTTGTTTAACGTCATTCAATAACACAATTGCCTTTATCTGGACTGCCTGCCTCAGAAGAAAAACTGGGATGTTCCAAGAAGTGCATTTAGTAGCATGGTTATGACCTAAAACTCCACAGGAAATATGCTTTTGAGAGATACCATGCATTCTTATTCACGCAGAACTATCTTGAGCATGAGTTAATTCTTGAAATGAAAATGTAGAAAAGCTCATTTTTGTACATAAGCATAGAATCATAAAATCATAGAATATCCTGAGTTGGAAGGGACCCTTAAGGATCATCAAGTCCAACTCTTGACACCGCACAGGTCTACCCAAAAGTTCAGACCATGTGACTAAGTGCACAGTCCAATCTCTTCTTAAATTCAGTCAGGCTCGGTGCAGTGACCACTTCCCTGGGGAGCCTGTTCCAGTGTGCAACCACCCTCTCTGTGAAGAACCCCCTCCTTATGTCAAGCCTAAACTTCCCCTGCCTCAGCTTAACCCTGTTCCCGCGGGTCCTGTCGCTGGTGTTAATGGAGAAAAGGTCTCCTGCCTCTCGACACCCCCTTACGAGGAAGTTGTAGACTGCGATGAGGTCTCCCCTCAGCCTCCTCTTCTCCAGGCTGAACAGGCCCAGTGCCCTCAGCCGTTCCTCGCACGTCTTCCCCTCCAGGCCTTTCACCATCTTCGTAGCCCTCCTCTGGACACTCTCCAACAGTTTCATGTCCTTTTTATACTGTGGTGCCCAGAACTGCACACAGTACTCGAGGTGAGGCCGCACCAGCGCAGAGTAGAGCGGGACAATCACCTCCCTCGACCTACTAGCGATGCCGTGCTTGATGCACCCCAGAACACGGTTGGCCCTCCTGGCTGCCAGGGCACACTAAGCATACTAATCAAGGCTGTCATTTAGATAAAATACATCTGAGGCCTTACATTCCTTTCTGTTTTAAGAACGAAAGCATTATGCTTTGTGAAACAAGACAAGTTACTCTTGCCATGCATTTTTTTCAACATCTTTGAAGTTACACTTTAAGTGTTTCTAGCAGTTGTCAAGAGTGCTAGGGAGCACTGACACAAAAAAACAGCAAATGCAAGAAAACATGGTGTTCTATCAGACTGCTTTTATCAACTTTTGCTCCAGCAGAAAGCGTCACATTATGCCTGAGCTTAACCCATACAGAAATTGCTGTCTGATTTCTACAGATTTTCAAAGAAATTCCAGATCTGCCACAATCTTCCATCTGTACAGATACCTGATGGCTGACTAACATCCGGAACACAATGCAAAATTTCACTTTTGGAGGGGCAGGGACATTAAGCACATGTCATAGCAACAAATATGTGATACCTAGATGAGTATAAACAGTGCAGCTGAAATCACAGCAGTGATTAAACAAAATGTTAGCATATACAACATACCTGAAGATTTGCTTCACCAGATCTTTCGTTGTCATCAGTTCTTACCAAGTCAGAGTGACAATCTTCTTCAGCTTCTGCCTAGTAGAGAGTAGTCAGATGTGATTACAGAGTGCAGGTCCCCACAGAACTTTCATAACACACAATTATCAAGGATACACATTTAAAAAAAAAACAAAACACACTCTTCCCACATCTTACCTGTCTATTCCCACTGATCAATCTTAATTGACAAGAAAAATTAATCTTAAATTAACCAATATTGTTTGCACTTTCCTATTAACCCAATGAGGATGTTTCTTGCCCTTCAGTGCTATCGATCCATCACAGGCTAGGTATGTATCACTTGAAGGCTCACATACACCAGCACACTGCCACGATACCCAAATAAAAACACTCAGTATCCACATCAAAACACAGACCCAAAACTTCATTAAACTGAGATGTAATTCATAGTGATTATCTTCTGATTTCCCCTATCTTCTCATTGTAAAGATAACCAATATTTTGGATTTGTTTAATACTTAGGAAAGCATGAAAAGACAAGTTCTTAGAGTAACAATAGCTACTTTATGAAACTATGGGACAAGAAGGGCAATCTCAAAAACTTACATATTAAAATATGAAGTACCTGCCCTACTGAAAAAGGAGTTAAGAAGCTAGCATGAGAGCTTGATGGCTGGTTTTATTTACAATACTGCTGAGAGATAAGTTAAACAAATAAGACAAAGCTTTTACTGAACTTAACAAGGCCCAACATACCAGTTAGACAGCTAGATTAAGAGCAGAGCTTAAAAACACCCCTCCTTAAAAAAAAAAAAAAAAAAAAAGAAAAGCTTCCCCAATCCTGCTTTCCCTGAGAAAGGGAAATTTCTCATTGCTAAAATGCATTACAACTGTATGGAATCTATGCTAAAATAAAACAAATTCCAAATCACTGACAAGCCACCACAATAACAGCAGCAAAATGCCAGTAAAGAAAAAAATCAATAAAGACTGAGACATCTGTTTAAAGTTCTTGCTGTTTCTGAGGCATCCCAGTTTTTCTATGATTCTGTGCTGAAATTCACATCTAGCTCTGCAAGTATGTCACACTAAGTGAGATTATGAAGGCAAACCTGGCATTAAGATTACCAGCACCACTTATAGAAGCTTTGCATCCCCCTCCTTCCTCCTGCAGATAGCCCTCAAAGACTTAAAATGACATCCTGTAAACTTACTAGTGAGAGTCTTTGGAGTTCTCATAATTAAATCCCTATCTCCTGCACAGTATCAGCGCAGACGTCAAAGCATTTCTGCATTCAGAAAGTTTATAGAATTTATATAGCATCTGGAAGCTCACAATCAAGCCAGAATGCTGGCAAACCTGACAGGCAAAAGTTTAATCTCTTGTCTTGGTGACAAGCACATCCCTGGAGTCCAGCTCGTAGCACTTGTCCCTGGTTCCCTGAACTACCACAGACTTACTGGGCTGGCTTGTCATCTGTAGACGTGCTTTCACTAATACACTGGTTGATTTATCTTTTACAATTCATGATGCAAACAGCATTGCTTGGTTAAAATAGACACTGTGTCTGCTTCTAAACGGATTCTGAAGGTTGTGTATTTTAAATTTCTCAGAGGAGGAAGTAGGTAAGCCAGAACATACCAAAGCCTTAAATCTGAGCAAAGAGTAAATAACTCAGAAACATCATTTTTTTCACTCCAGAATTTGGTTGCAGGCTGCTAACGTTGTGCAAGTCGCAGCAGACCTATCAGCAGAGTACTTCAGCACACGGGGACTACACCTACGCCGGGCAGAGCCAGGCAGGAACAAGTGAGCCCTGCCACAGATGTCTTGTATCTGTGTTCTTACGGCACGGTGCTGGCACAAACAAGGCCCACCTCTGCCTGCACAGAGCCACAAGGCTTCTGGTCTGCAGCTGAGCTTTGTCCAGGCAACTCTCAGGCTGGGCAGAAGAAGCCTGGTTTTATCTGCAAAATGCAGAGACGAGTAAAGTTATTTCTAACTAAATCAACACATTATCTCCCTGCACATAAAGGCACACCCATTAAAAGCTTTAAACTACAAAGTCTGCAAATAAGTTATTTTAAGCCAATAAGAGTCAGAATTATTTAGGTTTTAAAGTTGGCTCAAGTCTAGCTTGTTGCTCCCTTCCAACTCAGGGTACTCTATGATTCTGCCTACTGCTCAAAAACTTGGTTTCAGTAACTTCTCGTGAGTCTTCATTTTCTTCCCCTTGCCTTTGTTTCAACTGCCCTACCTGCTCTTCATTTCCGAGTCAAAAGTCAGCCATGGTTCTGGACCACATGCTTCCAAAATACTGTTCAATGCCCCTTAAAACTTCAATGTGCTCTCAATTTCAAATTAAAAAATAAAAATACACCATACTACGGAGACCTACTCCAAAGCCCAGCAGCTGTACAAAAAAAAAAAAGCATTACAGAAGTCTTTATAACCAAAGTTTGGCTCGCATCTTTACTTTTTCTGTGCTGAGTTCACGTCTGTTCTGCAGTCTCTCATCTGACAGGTTTGTCTTCTGGCAGCAGTGGCAGCATAAGCTACCCTCCAAATTTATCTGTAATGCAATTCTTTCACATTGCTGCTGCACAGCTAACTGGACCGGAAAATTTTTCTCTATTAGCAGCCTTTCTGCTCTTTATTTGATCGGTGAAATCCCCATGGTTTTGCTAGTACAAACACATAAACACACCAGTAGAGTAGGCATCACCACTGGCAGGCAGCTCCTGAGATCGTACCCGGGGCAGGTTTTGACTTGTAAAAACTGGCTCCTTCCCTGCATTCTGGAACATACTTCAGCTGCAATTACAGCTTCTCAGGTTCACAGGATCCTGCACTGTTACTGCTCAGGAGTTTAAAGGAATCAGGGCTGTTTGTCTCTATGCTATTGGCCTTCCTGGTGCTACAAGTCAGCCGTCCTACCTACCAGCGACTCTATCCTGCTTACAAAGTGAGCCATCCCCAGCGCAGGCTGAGCAGCTCGAGCGATTTTTCCGTGAGAAAAGTGGCAGCAAATCACCCGAAAGGTCAACAGGGAGACAGCAAGCACCAGAGCCAGCCTGCGACCTGCGGAAAGAAGTCTGCTGAGTCGATTTGGTTCCGATCTGTTCGCAAAGCTTTGGAAAACATTTGCCAAATGCAAACACCAGCTTATGCGTGTGGTTCTGCTTTTACTATTTTGCAATCAACAATTGCGTGCTGCTCTCCCCCGAGCACAACAGCCACCTCCTAGGGGGCTCGGCACTGCAGGGTAGCAAAATAAAGGCAGGAAAAAGAGTTCGAGGCCGGAGAGGGCTGGGAATTGGCGAATAAGCGGGGATGACACTGCAAAACTGCGACCGATGGCCAAGGCTCTTACTGAACTGTAGGGAAACGAGGAGTAGCTCACGGTTACGCCTATGTGCTTGGAGTGACATTATGCCAGAAAATCGGTGTTTTAGCTGGGCGGTGAGTTCTGAGGGACATAAAGGGCTCGGGTGTGCACTGACCCGGCGGTGCTGCCGGCAGAGCCGCCCTGACCCAGCCTCCTCAGACCCCAAACCCCCCAGGAGCGGGGTGCCGGCCCCCAAATCCCCTCAGGGGCTCCGCCTGACGGGGCGCAGCCCCCGCTTCCCCCCCCCCCCCCGCCACCCACTGCCCCCTCTCACCATGCTGCCGGCCCTCGGGCGGCTCCGTCCCGTGCCGGGGCTCCGTGCCCCCTTCCCCTCGTCCCGCCGGGTCCCCGCGGGGGGCACTTAGCAGAGTTCTCGGTCGGAGAAGCGCACCACGCAGCGGGAGTCGCGGCGGGCCCTGCGGACGGCAGCCATCTTGCCCGGCGGTGAGGGGCCGGCGGAGCGGCGGCGGCGGCGGGGAGACGCGGCCACACCGACACCGGCACCGCCACAGCGCCACAGCGCCGCCCGCCGCGCGGGCCGCTCTGAGGAGACCGCGCCGCCGCCGCGCTGGGGACTACGAGTCCCAGCGTGCACCGCGGCCCCGCCGCCCTGCTCCCGCACGGAGGGCCGCGGCGCGGAGCTTGCTGGGAAGTGTAGTCCGGAGGCAGCGCCGTGTCCCCGCTGGGCGGCGCCATTTTCTCGGCCAGCGGCCCGGGACCGGGGCCGGGCCCGGCTCCCGCCCGAGGCCGCCGCGGCCCAGCGCTTGCTGCTGCTGCCGGCCGGCAGCGGGGGCCCTGCCCTGCCCTGCCCGGAGGCCTCTACCCGGGCGGTGGGTGAGTGGGCCGGGCTCGTTAGCGGCTGGCTGAGGGCGGGGAGGGGACTGAAGGCGGTGGTGCCCCCGCCTCAGCGAGGAGGTTTGGCGCGGGGGGTGTACGTGGCGTGCTCGGTGAGGTGCTCCAAAAACGGGTGGGAATCGGGGTTTAAATGTGCCTAACAGCCTTTGTTTTCTTCAGGAAAACACCGCCGGTGTGCGCTTACACGTGAGCCGTTAGTCCCTCACCCATGAGGAGCCGTGAGGGATGCGCGTGTGGAGCGGGCAGGCAGGTGAGAGCCCAGGCCGGGCGCTGCTGGCAGGTAACGGGGAGGCGCCATGAGGGAGGGGGCACAGCGCTCAGACCCGCTGAACCCGTGGGGAAGAGAGCAAGAAGTGCCCCGGCTGCCTGCAGGCACGCCCGTGGGGTTGGTGCTCTGGAGCAGCAGGGGCAGTGCTCGCTTTTGGAGCGGACTGGCTGAGGTTTTGGGATCCTCGGTACCACTACAGCGGGTTGGCTGTAACGGGGCTTGTAGCCTGGGGCTGCAGGCAGAGCTGTCAGGCTTTTCTCCTGCCTGGGTGTGTCTCTGTGCGTCGGGGAGTGAGGGAAGCCTGCCTCTAACAACAGCAAAGCAGGGTGCTCCGTCACGGGGTTGGACACAAATACACATATATGCTTATGCGATGTAACAGCGATGACTTAAAGCAGAAATCTCTTTTGAGTAAGTACACCCAGCTCCAGCTGGCTTCACTGAGAGTCGTGAATGCCTATAGAAGTAGATTCTATTCTATCTTTTTATTCTTTTTAGATATTATTTTAATTTAAGCAATGTAACTGCTCTGAAGATCAGCCTCTATGTAGCTGCGTGGTCTGGGCATCCAGACCTTTCAGGCTTTTTAAACAAACCTCCTCTTAAATGAGTGCACTTCACTGCAGGACTCCCTGGCACAACAGACTGCCCAGGGGAGGAGCTGCAGGTGCCACGCTCCTGAGCTCCAAGCCCAGCTCACTTTGTTTTGTAAACCCCAAGCCCTGGGGAAATAACATAGTGATGCACTTTTAAAACACAAATGAAGGAGGGTGAAAAGCAGGTAGGACAGAGCTGTTACAGTTGGGGCTGGCAGTCAGGTTGCTTGAGGCCATATTTTTTTTTTTTGTCCTTTGTTTCCCTTGTGTGCCTCCTCCTCCTGTTCCCGTGACCCCGCTAGAGCCAGCAGGAGCCTGCGGTGCTCAGGAAGGGCAGGATCAGGCCTTCTGCACAGCAGCAGGAAGATTGCAGCCGGGGAAAGCGCTGTGGATGCCTGAGCGGTAACAGGAAAGCAGCTCTCTTCCTGCTGGTTGTTAGCAGTCCCGTGGTTCTGCGTGGCCGCACTGTTTTGCGATTTAAACTCATCTCAGAGATGGCAGCGAGGCTGGTCCCCTGGGGATTATCTTCGTGTAATTATACTAAAATCCAGCTGGGCCCTAATCCCTGCTCAGGCTGCTGGCTGGGGCTCGCAGACTGCCTTGTCCCCCCTCAGAGCCCTCCCTTTTTCGGGCGCAGCCAGGAATCTTCCTGATGCCTGAGAGGCTTTGGCTGCCCGCAGCCCTGCTGCCTGCCCTCCCTCACTCCCTTCCTCCTGCCCACAAGGAGAGCCTGTGACTCGTGTCATGACGGCTTTGTAAAGCCTCGAGGGCCCCCTTGTTACTGATGGAGCCTTCCCCATCGCTTACACGTAGTTTTTCCTTTAATGGGGAACCTCATCACCTTTGCTAACAAAGGTCAGAGGGGCCACGTGGATTTAAGCCTGGGTCTTTAAACCACACCTTTCTGTACACGCGCTGCCAGTAACGCCTTGAGATTGTTGCCAGCACGCAGACCAAATCTGGAAAGCCACTTGCTGCTTGTTTGCTCTTGTGTCTCCCAGCTGGGGCAGGAAAAAGGAGCCAGTTTCACTTTCAGTTCACAGCGCTGCAGCGCTTCAGACCCTGTTAGCTAGAGAGTGGGGAGCTTCAGAGCTAACCCCGCTGTATCCAGATGGGAAAGGCTTCTTGAAATTAAATTAGTGAAACTCTTACACTCCAAGATGATTTTGCAGTTTGTATTTACATCCTCAAACAATGTGCATCTGTCTGGATTGCAGACCTAGACTAGGATACTGAGCTTGTGCATCGACATTCAGAGCTCCACAAACTGTTCATCAAAGACCTGTGTGCTTTTGTCAGCGGGACTCCATTTCTGTGAAGTTTTAAGGCTAAGGTTTAGTTCATTCCAGTAGTTTAAGGTGAGAGCAGAAGAGGATAAGGACAGAATGTAAATATTGCAAAGGAAAATAGCTTGTTTTTTTAAACCAGTTTCACTAATAAGCTCAAGAATAAACAATACTGATACAATTAATCAAAAAAAATACATCGTTAAGCTTTTGCCTAGTGGATTTTCATACAGGTGGATTTGGGTTTCCATAGGAGTCGTGCTAACTTCAGTGCATCCTAGTATGTATTTTAACATGCACACCTCATTTAAATCTTGACTTTTGGACAGTTTTTTCTCTACGGGTTCGTTGCCTCCCTTGTATGCTCCGGCAGTATTTCCATTAATTTGTCTGCTTTTGATCACATTCAACAGTAGAGCTTTTGGAATTCAAAAGATAGTTTCTTTCAAGTTCTGTGAAGATCAGTGGCTTGAATTCGTATCCCCAGTGAGGAAAAGGCAGTGATGTTCACCACTTTGCCTATTTAAGAGGCAGCAAACAAACGGTAGACATTGATGGCAGCCATTGCAGGTTATTGCTCGCAATGTCCCGTGAGTTTTGGTTAGCTGTGGTTGTCAAACATAAGGCAAAGATGCTCTGTAGTCATAGTCCCCAGGAAAGGGACATGTGGATGGTGAGTCGGGGGAGCTTTACAGTCCACAAAATTGCAAGGTATCACATCTGTTACGATTACAGTTTCAGAACCCTTTTGTGAGGGGAATATGTGCTGAAAAGTCCACGAGTCTCATCTGTTTTAGTTCAAAGTTACTGCATAAAATGATCCGTTTGGATATTAACCAGCACTACGTTTCCAGACTGGGAGACCACTGGAAGCTTTGTTGCTGTTTGACATTTGCACTAAGGATCTGAATAAATGCCTGGGAGCTGAGTTACCATCCAGACACTGTCCAGCTGGAGTAACCAAAGCTTTCTAACCTGAATGCTGAGTGTTGCCTAAACGTAGCTTTATTCTGTGCTGGAAAAGCACAAACAGAAACTGGTACCCCAAAGTGCCATTCAGTCAGGCTCTGTGTTCCTCGGCAAGCAGTACAAAAGTGGGATTAGGTCTCCAACATAAACTGCTCAGCCGTGGTTCCTTGAGGTAGAGTGTGGGGAGATGCTGGTACTGCCAGAGGGCAGTTCCTCTTGCCAGTTTTACACGCTTCCTGGTGTCTTAGGTAGGCAGAGGCAGGCTGTTTCTTTTCATACGTGATGTGTAAGATTGTCAAGAAGTGTATTGCCATTGTATTTCTTAATTTTTGTTTGTTTGTAATGGGATTGATAGGTGTAGAAGATGAAAACGAAGAATCTTCACAACATCTTGCTATATACAGAGTTGTGACTTTGCACTGATGTCAGCAATGGGACTATATTGTATAAATGTTCTTTTAAAATCATAGTTTGGTTTGTGAAATAAGGCAAGATGGAGGAGAGAGTTAAGGAAGCCACAAAAAATGTGCAAGTCTCGCTGAAATGCAGGTTACAGAAGGCTAAAGTCACAAGCAAGGAATGTTGCTGTCCTCTGAGAGCTGGACAAAAAAGAAAGCAGGGACCAGACCCTAATTGCAGGGGAACTCTATTTTATACCAAATGTATGATTAACTTAGAATAGATCCCATTTATTCTAAAGTAACATAAATTTTAGAAAATATCAGCAGCAATTAGATTAAATGAGGGAGTAAGAACTTTCTTGATTTATGTCTATCGTTCCGGATTTCATATGAGCAGTGTCAGGACAAACGGTCTGATAGATAATCTGATGTATCCACTACCAGAGACTGATTGATGCTGAGGGCTACTGTGCAGAAGTGTGTTTGGCCTTACCTGACATGAGTATAATATTTTAAAATATAAGCTATGAGACTTCATCCTCTGCTTTCAGTAATAGCATGTGTCACTAGGGCTGGCTACCACCTCGCTGTGAAGTGCCTCTAGCTGTACGTGAGAGAGTACATGGGGAGCACACCCAGTTACCTCCAGGTAAAGGCTGACTGCTTCTGGAGGGAAACCAAGACAAGTGTTTGTTTGTAGCTTACAGGGACTGTTTCTCTGAGGAGAATGGAGTCTGCAAACAAGCACTCTCGGAAGGGTGCAGAAATCAAGTGGATTATGTTCTGTGCTTTCAGACCAAAGGCTAAGTCTTGAAAACATGATTCCTGCAACTGTTGACACTGTCCTGAGTGCTCTGTATTTATGCTGCCACAGAAAGAACTGGTTACAGTCGGAGGAGCAACACAAGAACTCAGGACACTAAGGACTGAAATGCGCTTGCAGTTAAAGTATCCTCATCATGAATAGGTACACAACTATCAGACAGCTTGGTGATGGGACCTACGGCTCTGTCCTCCTAGGGAGAAGCATTGAATCTGGGGAGCTAATAGCCATTAAAAAGTAAGTATGTTTGTGTGTTACCTAATGGTGCATGGTCTGGATTTCTCCATTCTGCGATCTGCATCACCTGCTCGTGCTGGTTTAAGCACTTCAGGTTCCCCACAGCACGCATGCTTGTTTGAGCCCTGCATGCTGCTTCAGTAACAGTCCTTGGTATCCTCCGAAGCCCCAGCAGAAACGAGAGAGGAGGAGACACGTAGGCGTACTATAATAGTGCTCAGCTACTCCATGCTGTCAAGCATGTGCTGTGTATTTTAGTTAGAGTATTCTGCAATGCTGTTTGGGAATCTGCAGCCCCTTCCCTGCTGCTTACATGGAGCATATATTTCACGGTCTAATTTCCAATCTCATGTTAATACTGCAGTGTAATTGCCTTTAACTTTATATTCTGTTATGTACTGGTCATTTCAGCTCAAGTTTTTCTTAAAATTGCTTGAGAAGCCCACTCGATTTTTGTCTTCCTTGTCTGCCACTTCAGCAGTGACCTCAGTTTGTAAATGACTTATTTGTCCTGGTTGTGGTGAGAGACATTGCATTGCAATGAAATCCTTTTCTGAAATACCAGCCATGACCCAGAGATGTACTTGTCAAAGGAGCTTTCACTACAATGTTGCTTTGTATGAATAGTCAGTAGCTGGCTTTAGCAACTTCACAAGTTCTCTGTGCTGGGGATGTTTTTCCTGCACCAAACCTCATCAGAAACACTTCTGATTTTCATTTTGCAACATGATGGAAACTCAAGAGGTTCAGAACAAACCAAAAGATGGAACTGTTTGCTTACGTGCTAATGACAACCCACTATTAAGAACAGAAGTGGACTGGTGGCTGAAAGAACAAGACAGTAACTGCAGAAACACTGCTTAAGCAAACAAAAAATGTAAAAGCTTTCAAGAAATGAACACCATGTCAGTATACTTAACATTTTTTAAGCACTGATTTCAAACTGGAAAATTACTACAATAATAGGTAGTGATTTATTAATAAAATCTGCTTTGTACAGTTATATTCTGGATTAGGATACAAAGGATCTGCCACAGTTTCTTTCTGTTAAAGCTTGAAAGGCAAGGCAAATTTGAAAAGCAATTGGCTTGATAGATGAAACTAGCAAGGGAGGTAGTGAACACTGTAAAATGAAGAAATAAAATGTAGGGGAAATGTTTAAAGATTACAAAGAAATCAAAATACAGAGGAGAGGAGCAGGTAGAATATGATGAAACTGGAGACCCAGGGATGTGATTTAACTTGGTTTTCAGTAGATTTGTTCCAAAACTTAGTCTGACTTGGTCGTAACTGTTGTTGCCCTTGTTCTTCTTACAGTTGGATTCTGCTTCATCACACTGTATACATGAAAGAAAAATAGCATGCCCTGATGTGTTGAAAGGTCTAACATCTTTGCAGAAAGATGCATATGCAAAATAAGGCAATCCTGTGTGAGAGTGGTGTTTTAAAATTCTACTAGAGCCTACTTTGTCTAGTGATGTAAAGTTCTGTGACAAAGGAAATAACACCTTATATTTAGATGAAGAAACTGAGTTGCTAAGCTGTAATGAGACTTCTGGATCTAAGATTGTAGCTGATGTTGACCACATATTAATTATTTTTCCCTGTACCATTGTAGAATGAAGAGAAAGTTTTATTCCTGGGAGGAATGCATGAACCTTCGAGAGGTTAAGGTACTTGCTTCATTCAATGGCTGACTTAAACATTAAAGAACCTGGTTACATTTTTGAGTAACACCAAATTCTTTCTACCCCTTTCATCAAAAAGTCTCCCCAAAATTTGCTGTGGAATGTGTCCATACAGTCCTCTTCCCTGGCTTTGCATTTGAACAGGGTATCTGTAGTCTTTTCAAAATTCTGTAGTCTTACAAAAAATAATAATAAAAATTTGGTTGTATGGAGCTGCTGCTTCCTTTCAGTGGGTGGTGAGTGAGTGAGTGGGACAGCTTTCATGTCACAAAACCTGCAGCTGATCAGTGTGTTTTGCAGAGCTTGAGAACACATGCCCTTCACTCAGCAGTAACCTTTGTACATGCAGTTGTTTTTTTCTGGATAATTGGTTTGGAGACATAGCATGAAATTCAGACATTAACAAAGCTTTAAGGAGATCTTTTAAGGCTCTCCCTTAATTTCTAGGCTTTGCTGTTACTGTTGCAAATGAAAACCTAGGTCACTTTTCTTGCACTACAGTTGTGTTGCTACAAGAAGGAATGTGGAGCAGAAAATGTAAAAAGAAGGAAGGATGAAGAAAAACAAGAATTTCCAGGGTTTATGTAGCAGCCAATATTTGCAAATCTGGTCTTTATTCTCACAGCCATGTGATTGTTTAAAATGCTAAAGTTTTGAAGCCAAGTCTTTCTGCATCAGTGAACCAAGTCTTTTTCTTTCTGTTAGAGTAAGCCCCTTTTAAAATCCTGTTTGTATTTTCTCCTTCTAGTCTTTGAAAAAACTAAACCATGCCAATGTAGTAAAGCTGAAAGAAGTTATCAGGGAAAATGATCATCTGTACTTTGTGTTTGAATACATGAAGGAAAATCTTTATCAGTTAATGAAAGAAAGGTATGTAACAGCATCACCCACTCCAAATTGTGTAATGTGCTCGTTCTGCTTACTTTTAACATCCCTGTTACTTTTCAAGGGACTTTGGATCATTTGCTTAGGCATCGATAACTGTGGCTTAAACTGCTGTTACAGCAGGAGCTGTGGCTTTCACCTTTGAGCATATTCCAAACAGTTTAATGAGAGTTCCTAGTGTCCCTCCTCAGATTAGCCTGACAGATAAGTAGGGCACTCTTCTGAGAGTTAGGAACAGTGAATTTTTAACATCCCTCAGGCTGAGGAGGCATTAAATATAGAACTTTTTATTTCTAGGGAAGTACTCCAGCTGGCAACACTTTTTCTATTAGAGGCAGGTATTACCACCCCTTCCGATGGGCTTCCTCAAATAAATAAACAAAAAGTGTAGTAATTGTGAGGGATCAAATTGGGAATTGCTTCTAGGAATTTTTTGCCTGTTTGTTTTTCTTGAAATTTGTTCTGGCATGTCCAGAGAATACCAATTTTATCTGTCAGTCTTCTCAGGAAAATCTACCTCTTTTTGATATTTGCTGGAGCATTAATAAAGTCCTAATTTTAGCCTTTGGCCACGATAGGATCCTCCAGAGTATAAGCTGGGGTAAAATAGGTCCATACTTTGAAATTCTGAACAAGTCATTTTCTTCCTATGGGCTGTAGAAAGCCTGTGGGAGGACAGTGATTTTGCTTCATTTAGCCAAGTAAGATTATTGTTATATCTCTGTGAATGCTTCATAAATACTTTATAAAATGCGTTTTTAAGAGTAGAAATACTTAATATGCATGCACAGGCATAAAACAACTGTCACTAAATTGTGCACGTGTATGTAGATGCTGATTTTTTTTAATGAAATGGAATAATGAACTAGAAAATAATTCTAGTATCTCATAAACCAATTGTCTCTAGGAATTATGATAAAATTCTTAGAAATGCTTAATATATTCTACCTCCTTATGAAAACAAAAAGGGCAAATGTCTATAAAGGTATGCAACACATTCTCTCCAGTTTAGCTAGGCCTCAGACTGGTTAGGTATCGCATAAATCAGGCCTTTAAGAATTTGGTTTATTTCCTTAAGTCTTAGTTAAAATTGCCAGCCTTGCTTGAAGGAACTGTAGAGGAAATTTGGTTCTTTTTCTGCTGTAATATAAAAAATAAACAAGAAGTTATGAACAGCTGACTGTAATAGGTGATTTCACTTCCAAAATATGTGGTCATCCGCTTTTTCGAGGAAGCAAGCTCAGGAATTGAATAAGCCCCAGGCCACCTTCTTTATTCCCTATTAGGTCCTTTCTGTTTAAATATTATTATTTTTTTTGGTCCTCCCCTTCCCCCAAACCATCTCAACCACGTTTTGGCATATGCAGAGGCAGCTGGTCCAGGGTTGTTTAATCTTCTCTTGATAAAAGGGGCCATCATTAAAAAGCCTCCTATGGCTGATCTTGTCTAAATATTATGAGAAGTGCCTCTTGTTTTCACCGGTAGGAGATTAGACTTATTTTTTCAAATAGCAGAAGAAGTAGCACATCAGCTGTTAGATAATAGCAAGGGAAATTGAAAAGTATAATTTCAATATGCTTTGAGGAGAGGCTGGAAGAATTACTGAATTAACGTGAACTCTTGTTGTCTTGAGGAATGTGCCTGATAACCTGTTCATGTTAAGGTTTGGTTGGCCAATTTTATTTTTTTTTAAATTCACTGTCACATATAGTCTTAACATAAAATAATATGGCTGTAATACAAATACCGAGCAAGTTTTCTTGGAGCAATAAACTACCTGAAAGTGCTTAAAATATAGCTAGTAGTTTTATTGTCATTGTTACCTTTTACCTTTGGTTCATAAAGACAGCATAAGCTAATGTGTGAACTTAATCATTAATGTCTATTTCCTCCTTTTTTTTTTTTTTTTATCCTACAGAAACAAACTGTTTCCTGAGTCTACAGTTAGGAATATTATGTATCAGATCCTGCAAGGACTTGCATTTATCCATAAACATGGTAAGCTGTGTTTTACCTCTAAACATTTTGAATTAGAGCAAGATAGTGTCTGTGTAAGGTTTTTGTTTGTTTGTTTTAGTGAATAGTAATAACTGTATTAGAGGAATTGGTCAAAAGAATGGCACTAAACTAGAAATTCAGGTTACTGAAAATAGAAAGCAGGTATCTGTGTTTTATAGCTGCCTGATGTTTCAACTTGGAGGTTTGCTTCATTTCTTTTCTGTAGATTTCTACATTCTCAAACTGGCAACTGGCTACCTGTAAAACTTACCTGATGTTAATGGCCATATTCTTGATAGACTTAGAGGTCTTCTGAGGTTGAGCATAAAATAAATGTTATTCTCTGCTTTATTCCCAGGTTACACAAAGGTGTCTGTATAAAATGCACATTCTCTGTAAGATAGTCTTAATAAAGTCTGAGTAACAAACAGCTTTCATTGCGTGGCTTTGCACTTAATTTTTAGAATGACGGTAAAAGCTAAAGCTGGTGTATTAGCTAGTAGTAACAAGACCTGCTTAACTGATAATAATAAAAAATCTTATTCTCACTCAAAAAAAAAATAATCTTAATGATTAAGACACCTTCATCACCATGTTTTACTGCCCTCTGCAATTAGACCTGCTAAATACAGTCATGTACAATGTTGTTGGTCAGCTCTCAGAGTCCTAAAAAAACATCTAAACCACCATTATTTTTACTGATTGTCAAATGCATCACAACCTACCAGAATACCAAAAAAAAACCTCTAAAAAAAATGTACTCAGAACTGCTGTATGATATGGCGACGAGTAGTTCAGTGCTTGCTGAGTTAAGTTCTCAGATTACCAAAAAAAAACAAAACAAAAAAGCCTTCAAAGTACAGAAAAACCACCTTATATTTTAATTTCTATTGTTTAAAATATCTTTTTGGTAAATGTTTTTGTTAGTTTCATTGCACAATTGCTAGTCTAATTAGAATAAAACTAATATTAAATGGTGTTAGTTTGTTTGTTTTTCATTTTAAGGAAGTGACACTTGAAAGATAGCTACCTAACTAAATGGTCTGAATTATTATAAAATAGTTGATTCGTTTATCCTGTTCTTCAGAGTCTGAGTGAGCAAGCATTATACAGACTAGCTCTGCCGACCATATCAGACTCAGAACTCCATGTTCCGCTATTCAAGCTTCAGCTGTAAGACTTAAATCAAAACAATCCAGGTGGGAAATAAAAGGAACAGCTGGGTGTGGCATCACAATGCACATCAATATTTCATTTGAATTTTAGGGTTCTTTCACAGAGACTTGAAACCTGAAAACCTCCTGTGCATGGGACCAGAACTTGTAAAAATAGCAGACTTTGGCTTAGCCCGAGAAATCCGATCTAGACCTCCTTACACCGATTACGTATCCACGAGATGGTAAGTGCAAGTACTAGTTTATATTGCGTGAATCTGCAGGTCTTATAATCAAGCCTTTAGATAAGTAGTATAAAATTAGTGCAGAATATAATGCCACTTTTGACTCCTCCTCTTTGTCAAACTTCTGTTTAAGTTTGGCGTAATTCAGAAAGCTTCAATTAGTGCAAGACAGTTTGCAGATGACACCAGAACAAGAACTGAGAAGGGACCTGTTAACACAGGTGGTACATGCTAGAAATGCTACATGTCAGGAAGGCAGAAGAGAACTTAGAAGAGCTTATGTAGGTTTTAAATCTTTGTTCTAGGAAAAAAAAAAGTCTTATAGGAGCTTTTAAGGGATATTCTCTATTAACAGAAAAGAATAGCAGAATGGTTTTGTGTATGACTGTGTTTGACTTTTTTTTTATTGTTGGGATTTGTTTCTCTACTTTTTTTCCCCTCACTGTTACAGGTACAGGGCTCCTGAAGTCCTACTGAGATCCACCAGCTATAGTTCTCCAATAGATATTTGGGCTGTTGGTTGTATAATGGCAGAAGTTTACACGCTGAGGCCTCTCTTCCCAGGTGCCAGTGAAATTGATACCTATATTCAAAATTTGCCAGGTGTTGGGGACACCAAAGAAGGTGGGTACAGATGACATTCCACACTGCAATAATAGTAGAGGTATTCTACAATTAATAATAATCAATTTACCTTTACTTTATGCTTTATACATAAGTATTATATTTATATAAGTATTATACTAGAAAAACTGAAGTATAGAGGAGGAGAAATAGAGCTGCTGAACAGCAAACAAAGTCATCAGACTCTGATTTATTTTGACATAGAAGTTTCCTTATCTTTTGCCTATTGCAGTATAAAACTATGCCTTAAGAGGATAAAAATTGGAGTCATGGCAAATGGTCACCTTTATGCCTCTGTCATGATCAGATATAAAGCAAGACTGACCTCCCACTGTAGTTCTGAGGTGAAAATTTCTAGTGAAATCCTTAAAACCTTCTAGAATAGCTGGATGTAGTCTATTCCTGACTAGAGAATATATGCTAGTATACTTAGGCACTATGATATTTTACACTTGAACTTACTTTGTGCTTGGAAATCTCATTCTTCCAGAATGACTGGCCCGAAGGCTACCAACTTTCATCCTCCATGAATTTTCGCTGGCCTCAGTGTGTACCTAACAACCTGAAAACCCTCATACCTAACGCTAGCAGCGAAGCAGTGCAGCTTATGAGAGACATGCTGCAGTGGGACCCCAAAAAGCGGCCAACAGCTAGCCAGGTTTGGTTCTGTTTTCTTTGTCTCATCTCCACATATGACTCTTCTTTCCATCACAAGTCACTTTTTTAGGCAGTCATTTAACAGTTGCTCAGGGATTCAGTTCTCAGAAGGGAAAAGAGCACAAGCCTAGAACGATTTCCAAGACAAAGGGGAGTAATTAAAAGGGAGTAATCAATCTGTTGTGTGTAGCATCAACTACATGGGCTGTGTCCTCAGTTTTCTGTGTGACTGCAGTGTATGTGCACCTGAATTAAGTATAACCTAGTTGCTGTGAATTACAGAGGATTGAAGGTAGGATGTCTGGATGCTGGAGCATATAGTATGGTGCTGTGCTTTCTTTCATTGCTGTTGAGATGTGTCGCAGAATCACAGAGTGCTTGAGGTTAGCAGGGACCTCTGGAGGGCATCTGGTCCAATCCCCCTGCGCAAGCAGGGTCACCTACAGCAGAGTGCCCAGCACCATGTCCATACAGCTTTCGTGTATCTCCAAGGACGGAGACTCATCCAGCCTCTCCGTGCCAGTGCTTGGTCACCCTCACAGCACAGAAGTTTCTCCTGTGTTCAGATGGGAGCTCCTGTGCTCTGGTTTGCGTCCATTGCCTATTGTCCTGTCACTGGGCACCACTGAAGAGAGCCTGGCTCCAACCTCATTTCATCCTCCTTTCAGGTATTTGTAGGCATTGATAAGATTCCCCCTGAGCCTTTTCTTCAGGCTGAACAGTCCCAGGTGTCTCAGCCTTTCTGAGTATATGTGATGCTCCAGTCCCTTAATCACCTTTGTAGCCCTTTGTTGGTCTTTCTCTTGTACTGGGGAGTTCAGAACCAGACCCAGCACTCCAGGTGTGGCCTCACCTGGGCTGAGTAGAGGGGAAGGATCATTCCCTTGACCTGCTGGTAACGGTCCTAGTGCAGCCCAAGACACTGTTGGCCCCCTTTGCAGTGGGAGCCCATTGCTGGCTCACATTCAGCTTGGTGTCCACCAGGACCCCCGGCTCCTTTCCAGCTGGGTGACCCCCAACACGTACTGGTGCCTGGGCTCACTTCCTCCCCAGGTGCAGCTCTTGGCAGTTCCTCTTGCTGAAATTCATGAGGTTGCTGTCAGAACACTTCTCCAACACGTCAAGGTCCCTCTTGTAGGACAACTGTGGTGTATCAGCCACCCCTCCCAGATCAGTGACCCCTGGGGTGCACTGACAGTTACTGCTTTCCAACCAGACTTTGTTCCACCTATCACCACCCTCTGGGCCTAGCCATTCAGCCAGCTTTCAGCTCACCTCACTGTTACCCAATCCATCCAGACCACTGTTGCTTAGACAAAGCTACCTTATCAAAGCTATTTGAAGGACAGTGTGGGCTTGATCGCACTGTAAATATGTCCCAACGTGCTGTATATAAACATAGTCCAAATAGTGCATGTACAGCAGTCCTGTTGGTGGTAGCCAGTGGTTTTTAGGTAACAGTGCTTGTAGTGATAGCACCCAACTAATGAAATACGCAGGGCACCTTCTGAAAAACAGATGTTATTCTGGGTTCAAATCTGATTTGACTTCAGTAGGATTGTAGGTGAACCTCTACAATATCAGACCTTCAGTATGAATTCTAATAAAAAGCTTTAAAGTTAATTAAACCATCTTAGAAGTAAAATAGATCAAGAAATCACAGAGGTAATGAAAAGCAAAAACACTGAATATAACTTGGTATTAAGAGCCATTGACCGATAATTCTTAGCACCTGTTTTGGAGTAAGTATAAATATGGTGAGAAACCTGAGCTTTTAGCAGTTTTTTTTTACAGTGAGAGGTCTCTGGGGAGAGAAAATGAGTATCCCTGAAACAGCAAGGTGGGCAGAGATGAATTGCCTTTACTGACAGTTCCTTGATTACTTGTAAGGCAGGATAAGGCAATTTTACCAACATATCTTCCAAGAAAGAGAAATGCTAATTTTCATAAGGGATATGTTTATTTCACTGGAGAATGGAAGAGATAGAATGTCTCTGGGGTCATTCAAGTCTTGATGGATGAATCTGTGATGACAGTTGCTCATGCCTTTCCACATAGGAATGTTCGCATGCACAAAGACAGAGAACAGTGGAACATGCCTCTAGATCACACATTTCCTGGTGAAGTTAGTTACCATTCTGCAGAACCTTTCCCTTTTGTGGAGACTCACAGGTGATCTGATTACTTGATATCTGTTGAGATTTTTTTACTTTTGCAGCATATTCTGAGGTGGATTGTGCTCACTAGGGTCTGGTGTTGAAAGATGCACCTTCTACTATTTTCTACCTCAGAAAAGGGTAAATAAAATTTGTACTGTCCCATAGGGCTAGGTAAGTTAGAAACTGGTTTCCTAAGATGGATCCTAACCTCTTCATTATGTTTTAGGCACTCCGATATCCATATTTCCAGGTTGGGCATGCCTTGGGTGTTCAGGACCTGGCAAAACAGAAGGAACTCCATGATAAATCATCTCTGCATATTAAGCCTGTCCCGCCACCACAACCTCCTTCAAAATCCCACACCCGTATTTCTTCACGAGCATTTCAGCAAAGCCAGGCTTCTCATCATTTGGTCTATCCATATAAGACAGACAACTCTGGGACTGATCACAGTAACTATTTGCAGGAAGACAAGTCTAACCAGCTTCTTCTTCCTGCAATTCACAATAAGGTTCCTCAGCAGGTAAAGGTCCATCTAGCGTTTGGATTTTCCTGAACTGTTTTATTTTTTCTTGCTCTCTTGCATGGGGTTCTTGTACTGAACTAAAAGTACAGGCAATGTGAATAAAGAACAGCTATGACTCTCTGGTGTAAACTGGAAGGTAGTCTGTTGAAATCTAAATCCAATTGCTATAAAACAAACAAGTTGATTTCTTATTTTACGGCGTTTTACACTTCCCTTTGTTATAAAGGGTGATTTTACATGAGTAAAATGATGTACAGTGGTGTGCATATTAATGTGATTGATGCCAGGGATAAAACTATTAAGTTAAATGGTATTGAATTACGCTGGGGGTCTGTTAGCTTAGTCCATTTAAGTCATCCAGTTTACATAACTAAGACAACCCTTTGGGTTTCTGTACAGGCCATGGAAGACAACGGATTCTTTCAGAGTAAGAACCTGCCATTTATGCTGATTATACAAGGAGAATGGATGCATAAGATAGATGGCCAAACTACTGTGAACACTTCTGATAAACAATTGGTCTTAACCAGGATCTGTACTGGCAATGTACTGATTCACTCAAGGTTGAAATGTACAAATAACACTTAAATGACTAAGGAGAGGCAAATTTGTATCTGCGCTGTCCCACAAGGAGAATATTTTCTATAAATATGCAGGTACAGGCTAGTGGAAACATAAATGTACATATGGTTTTGTGTTCCCAAGATGGGTTAAGGAATACAAATCATGTATGCACTAGTTGTTCAGAAGTTGTACAGTGAAAGACAGGTAGAATTGGAAATGAGACCCAAGAAATTTATTCTTCTGTCAATGTAAAATATTTTAATATGGGATGAAATGGGGAAGACACGTAATAAGGTCTACAGGCTGCAGATGGTGTTCTTAGCATCTTTAAAGAAAGACTAGCTTTCTGTTACAGCTCTGCTACCACTCTTGCCCTTTCAGATAGGAAGAAAAGCTGCTTTGGTCCTATCACCTGGTTTGTAGTGTAACTGTCTGGGTTTGTTTCTTTTCAATTATTGTAATAGAAAACATCTGCTGGAACTGAGAACATAAACGGTGAACTTAAACCAAAAGCTAGGCGGAGATGGGGGCATCTTGCTAGAACAGTGAAGAGTTCTGAAGACTGGGATGATTTGGAAGACCTTGATTTTGGCTCTTCTGTCACAAGAGTTGACCTGAAAAACAAAAAGAGGCAGAATGATGAAACTCTTTGTAGGTAAGTTGTTTTTTATTATGTTTGTATGCTATTTGGTCTTATTTTTTGCATAATATTGTTTTTATGCTTTCTGTGGATATAGAAACGTACATCCGTGCGGTTTTTTTTCTCGCCTACTTTGTCCTGGCTTCTTGTTGAATGCTGACCTTTCAATTGAAACATCTTCTTTTATGGACAGTCCATCTTTCTGTACAGTTTCTTGCTCATTTTTCTCCACTGAAAATAATATTTAAGTCTTCCCAAATTCATCTTTGAATGTATATTTTCTTTTTTCCATATTAAAAATTTCAACATATTTCCCACTGTGGTGGTTTTACTCAGGTGGGCAGCCAAGCTCCACCACAACCGCTCTCTCACTCCCCCTCTCCTCAGAAGGAGGGGGGAGAAAATACAACACAGAGAACTCGAGGTTTGAGATGAGAAAGGTTTAATTAAAGGGAAAGGGAATGGGAAGGAGAAACAGATACAAAAGAAACAATCAGTCCGCGCGGAAGCACAGAGAGAGAGAAAAAAAATTACTCTCTACTTCCCATCAGCGAGCGGTGTTCGGCCACGTCCTGGGAAGCAGGGCCTCAAACGCGTAGTGGTTGTTCAGGAGGAACAGCCCCCTCCCCCACGAGAGCCCCCCCTTTTATTGCTGAGTGTGACATCAGGTGTTATGGAATATCCCTTTGGTTGGTTTAGGTCAGCTGCCCCGGCAATGTCCCCTCCCCATCACTTGCCCACCCCCAGCCTGCTGGCTCTTGGGGGCTTAGGAGTCCTGATGCTGTGCCAGCACTACGCAGCAATAGACACAACACTGGAGTGATATCAGTGCTGTTCCAGCTACGAGTGCAGAGCACAGCACTGTGCAGGCTGCTGCAGGGAAAAGGTGACTCCAGCTCAGACAGACCCAACACAACTTCCACCCCTTATTCCATAACATTTGTGTCACAATCAGGTACAGTTTAGTATATAGATGTTCTCATCACCATTGTTTTCTGTCCATTGAAGCATTTTTATGTCTGTACTTCTCTTTATTCTATAGGTCTTTTCCCAAAATGCTCATAAAAACTGTTGATGGTTTCAGCTTCATCTGTTAAAGTGGTCACTCAGGACATGCGAAGTTGGTTTTCTTGACACGAGCACCAGCTTAGCTCACATCACTGTTGCACTTGCCCGGTTCCTTGCAAAGTTGACCTGTCATTGGTTCTGCAGTGTCCTCCTACAACACATAACTTGGATAACAGATTAATTTTCTCCCAGTGTTAAATCTCCTTGTGGCACACACTTGATATCCCCATCTTTCTGCATTACCCACCAGGTATACCCTGGTCCTTGGGCAAAGACAATCCCACGAGTGGGTTTGCCTTTTCCCATGGCAGGGGCAACCCACACTGCCTTCCCCATCCACTTCCCCACATGCACTACAGGGACTTTAGCTTCTCCCACAGTGTGTAGGGGTTTTGTTTTAGCAGGACCAGGACGGCTTTCAGACCCCCTGTTGTTAACTAGCCAAGTGGCCTCTGGTAGATTTATATCCCAATGTTTCCATGTCCCAGCACCCAATGCTCGTAACATAGTCTTTAACAGTCCATTGTACCTCTCAACCTTCCCAGAGGCTTGTGGGTGATAAGGGATGTGGTACACCCATTCAATGCCATGTCTCTTGGCCCAGGAAGTGATCAAATTATTTCGGAAGTGACTCCCATTGTCGGACTCAATTCTTTCTGGTGTACCATGTCGCCACAACACTTGTCTTTCCAGGCCCAAGATAGTGTTTCGGGCCGTGGCATGGTTTACTGGATATGTTTCCAGCCACCCAGTAGTTGCTTCTACCATGGTGAGTATGTAACGTTTACCTTGGTGGGTTTGTGGAAGTGGTCCGATGTAGTCAATCTGCCAGGCCTCACCATAACGAAATCCAAGCCATCTCCCTCTATTCCAGGGAGACTTTACCCTCATGGCTCGTTTGATTGCAGCACAGGTCTCACACTGATGGGTAACCTGTGTGATGGCCTCAATGGTCAGGTCCACCCCTCGATCACGAGCCCATCTGTAAGTGGCATCCCTCCCCAGATGTCCTGATGTTTCATGGGCCCATCGAGCTACAAACAGCTCACCCTTACGTCCCCAGTCCAGGTCCACCTGAGCTATTTCAATTTTTGAAGCTCTGTCTACTTCTTCATTGTTCTGATGTTCTTCGGTAGCACGATTCTTAGGCATATGGGCATCTACATGACGTACCTTTACAGCCAGGTTTTCTACCCGAGCAGCAATATCTTGCCACAGGGTAGCAGCCCAGATAGGTTTACCTCTGCGCTGCCAGTTGTTCTGTTTCCATTGTTGCAGCCACCCCCACAGCGCATTTGCCACCATCCATGAGTCAGTATAGAGATATAGTACCGGCCACTTTTCTCTTTCAGCAATTTCTAGGGCCAGTTGTATAGCTTTCACTTCTGCATACTGACTCGACTCACCTTCCCCTTCCATGGCCTCCACAACTTGTCGTGTGGGACTCCACACAGCAGCTTTCCACTTCCGATGGCTCCCTACCACACGGCAGGATCCGTCAGTAAACAACGCATACTGCTTTCTGTCTTCTGGCAACTCATTGTATGGTGGTGCCTCTTCAGGACGAGTTACTTCTTCTGTTGGTGCTCCGAAATCCCTGCCCTCTGGCCAGTCCATAATCTCTTCCAGGATTCCTGGGCGGTTGGGTTTTCCCATTCGAGCCCGCTGTGTAATTAACGCTACCCATTTACTCCACGTAGCATCGGTTGCATGATGTGTAGTGGGGATTTTCTCTTTGAACATCCAATGTAACACAGGTAGCCGTGGGGCCAAGAGAAGTTGTGCTTCTGTACCAACAACTTCTGAAGCGGCTCGAATCCCCTCATATGCTGTTAATATTTCCTTTTCAGTTGGGGTGTAATTGGCTTCTGATCCTCGATAGCCCCGGCTCCAGAACCCCAAAGGTCGGCCTCGAGTTTCTCCTGGGGTCTTCTGCCAGAGGCTCCAGGTGAGCCCATGCTCCCCAGCTGCAGTGTACAGTATGTTTTGCACAGCTGGTCCAGTACGGACAGGCCCAAGGGCTACTGCACGAGCTATTTCTTGTTTGAGTTGTTCAAAGGCCTGTTGTTGCTCAGGGCCCCACTCAAACGAGTTCCTCTTCCGAGTTACTCGATATAGAGGACTCACAAGCTGACTATAACCGGGCACATGCATTCTCCAAAATCCCACAAGACCTAGGAAAGCTTGTGTTTCTTTTTTGCTAGTTGGTGGAGACATAACTGTTATTTTGTTGATCACATCCGTTGGAATGTGGCGACGTCCATCCTGCCATTTTACCCCCAGGAACTGGATTTCCTGTGCAGGTCCTTTGACCTTATTCTGTTTAATGGCAAAGCCAGCTTTCAAGAGAATTTGAATTATTTTCTTCCCTTTCTCAAAAACTTCTTCTGCTGTATTACCCCATACAATGATATCATCGATGTACTGCAGGTGTTCAGGAGCGTTCCCCTGTTCCAGTGTCGTCTGGATCAGTCCATGGCAAATGGTAGGGCTGTGTTTCCACCCCTGGGGCAGTCGATTCCAAGTATACTGAATGCCCCTCCAAGTGAAAGCAAATTGTGGCCTGCATGCTGCTGCTAGAGGGATAGAGAAAAATGCATTAGCAATATCGATTGTAGCATACCACTTGGCTGCCTTTGACTCTAGTTCGTACTGGAGTTCTAGCATGTCTGGCACTGCTGCACTTAGTGGTGGTGTGACTTCATTCAGGCCCCGATAGTCCACTGTTAGCCTCCACTCGCCATTGGACTTTCGCACTGGCCATATAGGACTGTTAAAAGGTGAATGAGTCTTGCTGATCACTCCTTGGCTCTCCAGATGGTGAACTAACTCATGGATAGGAATCAGGGAGTCTCGGTTGGTGCGATATTGCCGCCGGTGCACAGTTGTAGTCGCAATTGGCACTTGCTGTTCCTCAATCCTCAGCAGTCCTACAGCAGAAGGGTCTTGTGAGAGACCAGGCAGGGTAGACAGCTGCTTAATCTTCTCTGTGCTCAAGGCAGCTATGCCAAAAGCCCACCGGTACCCTTTTGGATCCTTGAAGTATCCTTTCCTGAGGTAGTCTATGCCGAGGATGCACGGAGCCTCTGGGCCAGTCACGATGGGGTGCTTTTGCCACTCCTTCCCAGTTAGACTCACTTCAGCTTCCAATATGGTTAGCTCTTGGGATCCCCCCGTCACTCCAGAGATAGAGATGGGTTCTGCCCCTTGGTGGCCTGATGGCATTAGGGTACACTGTGCGCCTGTGTCCACTAAAGCTTTATATTTTTGCGGTTCCGGTGTGCCAGGCCATCGAATCCACACAGTCCAGTAAATCCGGTTGTCCCTCTCCTCTACCTGGCCAGAGGCAGGGCCCCACTAGTCTTGGTCGGAGTATCTATCAATTAATTCTTCCAAATGTGAAGCAGAAGTCTCTTCGTCAGGGTCAGGAGTAATACTATTCCTTCTACTGCCTCTGGGGGACTGTTCAACAGAAACTGGAGCAGCAATCCTCTTAGGGGCCCTCTTTGTTGCTGCTCTATCTTTCCGTAGTTCACGTACCCGAGCAGCTAGGGCCGAGGTCGGTTCACCATCCCACTTCCTCATATCTTCCCCATGGTCACGTAAATAAAACCACAAGGTACCTCGCGGTGTGCGTCCTGGATTCTCCCTTGTTTGAGCCGGGGACTGCTGGCGCTTGATGGCCGAAAGATTTTTTTGTTTAGGTGAGGACGAAGCTATGTGTTCATCTAGCCGTTGGGACAATTTCTCCACAGCTGAAATGCAGCCCCGTACTGGGGCAGAGAGATTTTCTTCATATTTATGAAGTTGATTGGACACGGTGTCCACAGTTGGCCCCATCCCCTCATCCCAACCCATTACTGCCAGTGTGCTGGCATGTGTTAGGGGTGCCGCCCGTACAAACTTCCGCCACATGGATGTTGTGCATTGAACTTCATCGGGGTCTGTAGGTGTCTGGGCATTATTTAAATCACTATAAATCATCTCCAGCACAGCTAATTCCCGCAGCTGCTGGAGGCCCTGATCCATAGTGGTCCATTTGTTTACTTGGTAGACAATATCCTCTTTATGGGGATACCTTTCTTTCACAGCTGTTAGGATTCGCCTCCAGAGGCTGATAACTTGTGCCTCTCTTCCAATTACTCTATCAATGAGCCGTTCTCTGGAAAGGGATCCCAGCTGCTTGGCTTCATTGCCTTCTAGCTGTTGGGTATTGGCCCCACTATCCCAGCATCGAAGCAGCCAGGTGAGGATGTGCTCACCTGGATGGCGACTGAAGTCTTTTCGTAGTTCTCGCAGCTCACTCAAGGATAGAGACCGAGTAGTTTCTGATTCATCTATGATTTCAGTCTCTCCTTTGTGATGTTGCCATGATAACGCTGTTTTAGAGCTGCTTGCCTTTTCTTCTTCTCCCTCATCTGTAGGAGGAGCTTCTTCCCGTACTAAACGACCTGATCTCCGTTTCCACTGTTTCGTCTTTACTACAGGGGCGACTGATACCATAGATGGTCGGTCCTCTAGGGTGGTCACAGTTTGTGCTGTCTCATCATCAAATTCAAGAACCTCCCTATTCCCTTGAGGGTGCTGGGCAATGTTAATTGATATTTGATAGGCGTAAGCCAGACCCCAGCAGAGTGCAGCAATCTGGTGGAGTTCTCTAGTATTGCCAGGGTCAGGGCATACGTCTTTCAAACACTGCACCAGCTTCCTTGGATTTTGCACTTGTTCAGGGGTGAAATTTAGAACCATTGGAGGAGAAAACCGTGATAGGTACCTGCCCAAATCCCCCCACACACCTTGCCACCCACAACTTTGTCTGGGGACAGGTCCTTGGATAATATTCTTAATAAATTGCTTTACCTTGGGGAAGAAGACAAACACAAAACCTAGTAATAGGAGGATAATATCTGACCAAGGGTATCCAAGATACTGAAAGGCTGCTGTAATTAGCCCACAGGGAGAAAAGTAGAAGGCACCACACCCGATATTATTCACTGATTGACTGTTAGGGGCAAAAAAGAAGGCGCTGTAATTCTTAATATTTTCAATAAGATAATCTCCAGGAGACCAGGAGGATAACCATGCCGGGCCTGAATACCAAACAAAACTGAAGGCCAGTATGTTACAGCACGACACGATAAAGAAAACAAGCACAGACTTCAACACTTTCTCCGATCGGATGTAAAGGAAAAAAGAAAACAGAGAGTAGGCTACATACAACATATCCACACAGAAAAGTATTGCCAGAAAACCGAACATTATGACTATCGATATGTTAGTTGTAAATACTTCAATCAATGCTATTGTTATCTCAACCCTCGAGCCCCACGTTGGGCGCCAAAAAAGGACTGTGGTGGTTTTACTCAGGTGGGCAGCCAAGCTCCACCACAACCGCTCTCTCACTCCCCCTCTCCTCAGAAGGAGGGGGGAGAAAATACAACACAGAGAACTCGAGGTTTGAGATGAGAAAGGTTTAATTAAAGGGAAAGGGAATGGGAAGGAGAAACAGATACAAAAGAAACAATCAGTCCGCGCGGAAGCACAGAGAGAGAGAAAAAAAATTACTCTCTACTTCCCATCAGCGAGCGGTGTTCGGCCACGTCCTGGGAAGCAGGGCCTCAAACGCGTAGTGGTTGTTCAGGAGGAACAGCCCCCTCCCCCACGAGAGCCCCCCCTTTTATTGCTGAGTGTGACATCAGGTGTTATGGAATATCCCTTTGGTTGGTTTAGGTCAGCTGCCCCGGCAATGTCCCCTCCCCATCACTTGCCCACCCCCAGCCTGCTGGCTCTTGGGGGCTTAGGAGTCCTGATGCTGTGCCAGCACTACGCAGCAATAGACACAACACTGGAGTGATATCAGTGCTGTTCCAGCTACGAGTGCAGAGCACAGCACTGTGCAGGCTGCTGCAGGGAAAAGGTGACTCCAGCTCAGACAGACCCAACACACCCACATACAAACTGTATCACATGACTCTAAGCTGCATTTTCCATGGATCAGACACAGTAGAGAAAAACTTACTAGGTGATATATAAAAACCAAGAAAGCAATTTATTAGAGAGCTAGAAGTGTAGGTCAGAATTTTAGGGGCACTTGTATGGTTTCAGGCTGAAAATATTCCCTGTTGTCTGTGTGTTTATGCTGTAGCAAACACAATATGAGGAAGTGATTCGTGGAGATGGGATGGAGGAGAGAAGGCCAACTGTGGATAAGCATATGCTATAAGTATTGGACTAAGCGTAGCAATTTTTGGGTTATAGATTTGAAAGCATTTTGGACCTGAAGCCTTCGGATGCTGTTGGCTCTGGCAACAGTGCACCTTCCCACGTTACCTTCCCTCGGCAGGACACTCCCACGTTGCGAGTTTCTGCAGCAAAGCAGCACTACCTGAGACATTCTAGGTATCTACCTGGTTAGTATCAAATACTTCTTTTTCATCCTGTAATTCCAACAATGGTACGAAATACATTAGGCTTTATCCTTTGAATTTGTGGAAGGGGGGGCTATTACTTAAAGAAAACGAGGAGAGGAAGAGCTTTCTTGCTAATATAGTTGGCCAATAATGCCAACTACATTTTAGCAGTCTAGCAACTGAGATAAATCCTGCTTTCATGAAGGGGGATAGGATTGCTGACATTTCTCCCTTCTATCACATGCTCTTTTATGCTTTTAAGTGTGGTAGAAAATGTCTGCTAATGTGCCAGGCTGTTCCCTGGTTCCCTAAGAAGGATATGACTGATCTTCTAGACTGGAAGAGAAAATGCCCTTAACTTGTCTCATGAATATTCATGGAACCGAACAATTGCTCTAAGATTGTGTATGAGATGGAATGAATGCAGGCCTGCGTAATCAGAGATTTTTAGTGTGGTAATTGTTGTGTTTTTGTCATAGGAGTAAACACAAGGAATAGCTTAGTCTCCACTTCGAGCAAAGAGTCCGTTCCGTCTAATCCCTGGCCCAGTTCTGGTTTGCCTGGGAAAACTTCAGGTTTGGGAGGAAGTATTAACAGGATAAATTCAGGTAAGATGTCTCTGCAATTCCAAATAGCTGTGTGTTGGGGTCAACCATTTGTAGTACATTGTCATCTCCAAGGATATTTGCTGCCAGGCCTGTTCTTATGTCCAGTAATGAGACTACATGGAGATTACACGAAACTAAAACATAGGCATTTCTTCTAATGAATCCCTGAAAGGCTGTGTTGAAGTACCACATGCATAGAAGTATGGACAGCTCAGGTGTGTACAACCTGAAATACTTCATCTAGCCTTTAATTTCCTTTTGCCAGTTTTTGTAAGTCATATTTTCAGGTTTCAGAGTTATTTTAACCAAACTGTTGCTTAAGTGACTGTCACAAAGAAGAAAAATGGTACAAACTGAAATAGCCATACAGACCACTCTTGTTATGTGAATAACATTCTATCCTTGTGTCTTTTAATTGATGCTGTTTAAAATAGTGGAATAATTGTAGCTTTAAAAAAATCAGACAAAAAGCCACTTCCATTTTTTGTCTGCAAGTATCTTTTGACATCTGGTATTTCAGGTATTTAATCCCTATTACTGGATTTGAAGTAATTATTTTGTAGATTTTAACATTAGATTTTACCAGATATACTTAAACATGTTGACTTTCTAAATTATACCTATTTATTCCCTCTCTAATCTCTCCTGGCTTCATGTTTTCACATGACATTACAGCTCTGCAGTGTGGTACTTGTTTTGCATATGTTCTTACAAAAACATTAGATTGAGAAATTTTCTGTTGTTTCTTGGTCAAAAAAATATTTGGGGCCTTTAGAAGCTCTTAAATAAAAATAAAAACACCCTTAAAAATTTGGATGTAATTTAATCAGAAGATGATTTTTTTTAAATTTAAGATGGGAGATGTAAATAGATAAACTATGTGAGAACCAGTATATATGTAGCACATGGCTCCTTTCTGGCTCTTCTACAAGGTTTTGATTCTTTTGTAGCTGTATAGGATATCATTAGGTTTTTCCCTTTTTTCCTTATTACCATAATTTCCCACAATATGCTGTGCCGTGGCTGTACTGCTCTATTACACTATAGGAATATGTGCCATATCTGTACATGCTAACGTGTTTAGTGTTCAGCTGTGGTATAAGATTAGAGGGTTTTATTTATAACTATTGTTCCAGTTCTTAAAGGTTATCTAAAGTGGTCAGTCAAATGTGTTCTTGCTCATATTAAGGACAATTTTGGTGTCTGACTTGCCAGATTTGGAACACAAATCTGTCACAGGTTGTTAAATGGCACTCTTACTGGCTTTAGTAGAAGCTTTCTGAACAGAGACATACAAAGGATGTGTGGATTTCTGTCTTCAGCAAAGTTGCTGTTTCCATCAGTCCACGGTCAGCCTTGATCTCAAACATGGCCCATCAGTTCACACATCTATCATCTGCTGGTGGTACAGGAGATCTATTGTATTGACCTCCAACGTTTCTTGCCATTTCTTTCAGGTCCCATAGGATCAAGTGGTCTAAGTAGTGGTTATATCCCTTCGTTTCTGAAGAAGGAAGTAGGCTCTGCTGGGCAGAGGGTTCAGTTAGCACCAATTGCAGATCCATCTTCTAGTAAGTATAGTGCCAACACTGTCTCAGTCCCTTGCTCATTACTCTGATTGTGCTGCATACGTGCAGCACTGAGTTACATATCTTTGCTTTGCTTTGTAAATATTTGAGTGACTGGAACAAATAGTTCATAATCTTCGTGAACTTCATATGGAGAAGGTTTATTTTTTGGTGTATGAATTACATGTTTTTATCCACGGCTGTTAACCAGTAAGCATATTTCAGTGGATTCTAGAGTCTGGTGCGAGAGCTGGCACAGAATTCACACTTTTCAAATCCGAGACATAGATACTCCTTGTATGATAAGGGTTTAGGGATTGGATCCTCTGGTGTTTCACATCATTTTTTTGACTAGAATTTGCTGATGCTTGTTTCATCAAGAAATGATGTTCTAGATCAGTTGTTTTCCAATGTGGACAGCTACTTACCGAATCTTTATCTCCTGGTGTTTTCTTTTGCCCCTTAGATTATGCTTCTCCGAAGTTGGTAAGACCCCATCCTGGACGGCCCTCATTCAACTCCCCTTCAAAAAGCACACCAAGGTTAATGCCTCTCCCGCCACCAGCTCAGCCGATCCACGGCCGCGTTGACTGGTCTGCAAAGTACGGTGCTAACCGGTGACACATGGAAAAACTTCCTGAACCAGTGTATATTTCCCATGAAATGGTGACTAACACAAGACAATTTTATATTGTTTTGTATACCTGTAAATTTAAAAGATCTTCTATGGTTGAGACCTTTTTGAAGGCATTTTTTTAATTTTTATTTGTATTAATTTGGATGCAATCTTGTACTTCTTTTGTATGAAATTGTTTTGTTATATAATTGGGTCCAGTTATTTTCATAACAAAATCATTTTGTATATATGGTTGAGGGGTCTTGGCATTTTTATATGATAAATTTTTATATAAAACTTTTTTAAAATTTAACTTTTCCTTTATTGGATTCAACTTTTTTATAAAAGTGGGTTTTAAAAAAAAAGAAGCAAAGTGGTGCAATATTGCAGTGGAAGAGAAGTAGTGAGGAAGGGGCATTCATTAGATATTGTTGGAAATTGATGTGCTAAATGAGGCTTTATAATTTCAGCAGTGCCACATCCTGATGCCATGCTGTTGTGGTTGTACACTCATTTGCTTTGTATTGACATCAATGAGTAGGGATGAGTAACAGTCTAAACTCTCCTTTGCATTCACTGAGAGACTGCTGGAAGTCAGTGGGAAGCTTTGTTGTTGTTGTTGTAGTATTTATTTTTACCTTTACCAGGTTTTTGGTGAGCTGCTGTCCAGCTTTCCAGTCCCATTCTTTTGCTTTTACCAAATCTTGGTAGTCTCCTTTAGTAAAGGGTATTCGGTAGATTTGTTTTCCGATGCTTGTTTGTCCTGTTTCAAAGTTACCTCTTGGTGTTGTTCACTATGAAATAGAATGTGGACCTACCTCTGTTAAATTCATGTAAATGTTTCCTAATGACTTCTAAGGAGAGAAAGTAGATTCTGCTTTTTTGTCATTGTTGGGAATATAAGATGCAAAGACAGATTTAAGACAGTATTGACAATTACAAAGCTAGTTTCACAGTAACAAAGTATTAGTGAGATACCAGCAGCAGCAGAGTTTAAGGAAACAGTATCTATTCTATCTATTTTATAACTGTTTTAAATCACTTTTGGGAAAAACATAAATCTGGAGCAAATGAATCAATTTAAGCTTCAGTTCTGCTTTTCAGTAGGACTTCACTGCAAAGTGAAGAGTATGTCCTCTGTTCTGTAAGTTAGGCCCCCAGGCTCTCCTGGGAAAAACTGGGACCTTACCTCATCCTACTAAAAAACATTCTAAAATTGTGATTGATTTCACTAAAAGCATTTAACTCAGTTTATAGGAGAGAACGAATGAGCGGGTTATAGACAAAGGAGAATAGCCTCATAGCCTGGGTTATTTCTGCACTGGAAAGGAGTGCCAGAGTTCAGCCAGCAGTAAAAGGTTCGTTCTGATCACAGTCAGCATTTGGGTGTTCCTGCAGCTCCTTCCACAGAAGATTAGCCCTGTGGATAAAACAGTGCTGTGGGAGAACATATTTTATAGCTGTGCTTTGGAAAAGCACCATCAAAGCTGAAGTGTGCTGTGAAAACACATCTTCCTGCAGAAGTGTGCAGAAATGCTTAGCTCTGGGAAACCTCACCTGAACTCATTTTATGAACAGGTCGGGCAGATCTTAAATTTGGGAGACTAAGATCCTCAGAGCAGGTACGGTTCTGGGCATCTGGCCATCTGAAGGAGGCGAAGTGCTAGTGTGTGAGTGCAGTCCTACCTGTGGGGTCTGCCTGCACCCACAAGGGGCACCCACTGCGGACTGGAGGCTGGTGGCATGCTCTGGCACCTTCAGTTCTTTCCGTGGAGAACGTACGGGACTCAGGAAACAGGACCCTAGAGTAGGCTGCTGGCTCAGTGCTACGGGGGAACCGTGAGGGACACTGGTCACTGTTTGCTTTAACAAACTCAGCCCACAGTGAGACAGTACAAGGCAAAAAAGGAGCAGAAGGCATTATAGAGGTATACATATAAGACTTATATGTGCCACGGACATGTCCAGCTACTCTAATTACTTGATACAAACAAGTACAGTGATGCCAATGCGTAGCAGTGCCCTAAAGCAGCCATTCCAACTCTGGAGCACATGCTGATGTTGTCTTGGCTGAGTGGAAAGGGAAATATGTATATTTGTGTTAGAACTGGAAAGATAGTTGTTTCTCTTGTTGGAAAGAAATACCTGTATTTATGTCTAGATATCATTTAATTTATTTTATCGCTGAATAATCAGTTCAAGAGAAAATACCCTAAACCTGTCCTAAATATCCTTAGACCTAAGTAGGCGATTTCTATAGTCGGTTTCATGCATATAATTCCTATTAATGGAAGCAGGAGACAAGTCACAAGAACGGGCTGCTGAGGCTTGGATTCATCCTACCTAACCACTGGTGCCTAAGCGTGAGCTGATTCTCTAAACCAGAGGTAAGTGAGAATCACTCACAAGAAACTCAGCTCGCCTGAGAACTTAATAGCCCCCTGGATATGCCTGGGTCTCTGCCGCTGACAATGGGGACTACTCAGCATGCTTAACATGGTACATGTTGAATCTGGACCTGGCCTGTAATCTTTGAACTTTTATCAGCACAGCCCTGCAGCAGTGAACCTGAATATGGCATTCAGGTTTTGGTCAGCTCAGCAAAAATATTAGAAAAATAGTATTACAATTTTTTTTGGCACAACTCCCCCTTTCCTGAAAGAAAAAAAGCCATTATTTTTGAGGGGAAAAAAAGCTAATAATCTTTGACATTTCTGAATGACTTCTAGTTTTAACTTAGTTGGATGAGAAAATTGTGAAGTATTAGTATATTGGGAGCACTCTTGTAACCTTCACTCAAGCAGATTCCTACAGATGTTGGAGAATGTTCTTTCTGAGTAAGGACTGACTTGGCTGAGCAGTATATCACGCTGTGCTCTCACCATGCAGCACAGGTGGAAAAGATGTTAGTCTGTTTGTTACACTGAAATCTGGGCAAGCAGCACATCTGAGAATTTATCATATGTAGCCTACTCCTTTGTGTCTTAATGTTTAGCAGCATCTTTGTGCAAAGTGTTGCTCGAATTCTGCTGTCTACTTTTTCTCTGCCTTATGCATAGCGTGTAATGGCTGTTGGAAATAAAGGAGCCTGACAGTAGATCGTTTGTCTCTGTAATCCAGGTTTTGATAAAAGTCTTGTGTGAGTGCCATGATGTTAGCCAAAAAAAAAACTTCACCAATTCCATGGTATTTCCATGTCTAATAAGGCTGTTGTTGTGAGTAGGTTCTTCCAGAAGGAGAGGAGAACATTTCTGAGCTTCTGTGGAAGAGGAATTGTGGAATTGTTGATGTGAGTACGATCTTAAAGAAGTAATGGTTCTTGTTCCTTCAGTGTTTTTGTTCAAAACTGTTGCAAACGTTTTCTTTCCCTCTGTGTCAAGTCTCCTGCCCAGAATAAAGTTACTATTGAAGAAATACGGACTGACTAGTGTCTTTTATCTTCTACTGAGTTTTTAATAACAGCACTTTATTTTTTTTAAATAAGCCTTCCATTTGGTGCCTTCTCAGATGGGTACTGCCTCTTTGTAGCTGTGTCCCGGTTTTGGCTAAAACAGAGTTAATTTTCCTCCTAGTATCTGGTAGGGTGCTGTGTTTCAGATTAGGATGATAATAATGTTGATAACACACTGATGTTTTAATTGTTGCAGAGCAGTGCTGCACTAAGGCAAGGACTTGTCAGCTCCTCACTCTGTCCTGCCAAGGGGCAGGCTGGGGGTGCAGCAGGAGCTGGGAGGGGACAGACAGACAGACAGACCCAGGACAGGTGACCCAAACTGGCCAAAGGGGTATTCCATACCATCTGGCATCATGCTGAACAATAAATAGATAGGGATGGCAATATATAGGGGTGGGGGGGCCAGACTGCTTGGGGTTAGGCTGGGCATCCATCAGCGGGTGGTGAGCAATCGCATTGTGCATCACTTGTTTGTACACATAATGATAATAGTACTGCTAATAATAATTAGTAGTATTTTCCTTTCTTTTCTGTCCCAATAAACTGTCTTTATCTCAAGCCACAAGCTTTCACTTCTTTTCCAATTCTCTCCCCCATCCCGCTGAGGGATCTGTGATCTCTCCTCTCCTGCTGCCTTTCAGGGTGGTAGAAATACCTTGGCCAGTAAGTTGGATATCCAACTATTTTGCTGACTTGGAGCGGGCTTGAACTGTATGGGGGCAGAAGTAGATGTGGGATTGAAGACGTATGAGGGGAATTGCTGGTGGGTCCCGTTGCAAAACAATGGCAGACTGCCCCGTGCAGCGCCTCACTTGGATGTGTCTGCAGTCTTGGAAGCTTGACTACCCTACGTTCTCCTACAAATGGACCTTGAGCTTGTTTGGAGGTTCTAGCAGGGGAGCGCAGCTACCGTATACCCTTGACCGATGAACGGTACACGCCTCTATCGGGGAAGGTCGTCCTCTTCGACCGAGCGCGCAGCTTCGGGAGGGACGCACATGGAGCGGTGAGGGAGGAAGGGGACACCCGCCTAGCCAGCCAGATCAGCCGAATCAACCCTGGCGATCAATGGGGTGACAGATGTCGCAGCCAGATCGCCCTCACATCCAGAGTATCGTTTGGCCCAAATTCTATATAAAGCTCCGTATAGCCTTTCTTCTTAGGCTACGGTGAGGAAATTTGAGGGTGAAAATTCGATGATACAGACAGCAGAAACATTCTCTCGTCATTACTTCTGCCTAAACACGTCTTTTCCAGGCTGGCTATAAGCACTTTAACGTTTTCCCTCAATCTTCGTTCCTCCCACAGGCCTTTGCGGTTTACGCAAATCAGCGCCGTTCTATTGGCTGCTGTCCCTCTCGGCACCGCCTGGCGGGCGGGCGGGCTGGGCTCGGCTCAGCTCAGTTCAGCTCCCCTCAGGCAGGCGGCGGCCGCCATTTTGTGTCCTCGCGTTGCGGTGAGCAGGGGGCGAGGGGCAGGAGCGCGTTCCCCCAGTCCTGGTTTTTGGGAGCTCTTCTGTGGAGACAGCTCGGTGGTCCTGGTGGGTGCTTCCAGCTCGGGATGTTCGCTGGTTCCGTGTTTCCCTCAGCTGGAGGTGCTCGTCCTGCCTCACCTGGCTGGCGCAGCTTGAGGAGCCCCCACGCTGTGCGCCTCTGGGGGTGGCACTGCCGCTCGGGTGTCCTCTGGGGGAGCTGGGGTTGTTCAGTCTGGGGAACGGTAGGCTGAGGGGAGACATCATTGCTCTCTGCAACTGCCTGAGAGGAAGGTGTGGGGAGCCGGGGGTCTCCTCTCCTCACAGGTAACCAGCAATAGGACCAGAGGGAATGGCCTCAAGTTGCACCAGGGGAGGTTCAGGTTGGAAATGAGGAGACATTTCTGCTCAGAAAGAGCAGGCAGGCACTGGGACGGGTTGCCCAGGGAGGTGGTGGAGTCACCGTCCCTGGGGGTGTTCAAGGCAAGGCTGGACCTGGTGCTTAGGGACATGGTTCAGTGGGTGATGGTGGTGGCAGGGGGACAGCTCGGCCAGATGATCTAGGAGGATGATCTCCTACCTTAATGTTTCTGTGATTCTGCGACATTGGCATGCTTTGAGCACATCTCAGAAGGGCACGCTGAACCAAAAGCTCTAATGTTTCTCTTACTTTTTAAATACTTCAAATTAACAATCACCTCGGCTGCCTTCTTTTCCCCTCTTTAATGAGTTTAACTGTCTTGCAAGCCATTTCCATTCGTGGAAAACCATCCTTTTTGCCTTCTTTGCCCGTTTCGTTGCAGTCTGCCTGCACCTCGTGTTGCTTGTTGTCATCAGCCTCTTCTCCTGACGCTCAGGTAGGTGCTGGGCTCATCCCGCTGCTGCTTGGTGTGACATGGTGCCACAGGCTCTGCTGCACAGCTCCATGCCAAGTGGAGGCCCTTCAGCAGGCACAAAGGGCCAAATAACCTTGCTCATTTGAATTCCTGTCAGCAGCAGCCTTTATTTTGTGATTTTGTGTCCTTTTTTTTTTTTTTTCTCTTTTTTTCTCCTCACCTTCTTACCTGGTGCTGCATCTGTGCTCAAGATCTGTTAGAGGTTGCTTTTTTTTCCACCCCTCTTGCTTCTGAAGGAGTGCTTGCAACGTTGAGAACCGGCGGTCAGTGCTCGCATGCCATAAGGCTGCTTTCCAGGACTGATTCAACTGCTGCTTAAGGTGACAAGGCATCTCCCTGCAGAGGGAGAACAGCCCTCAGCTGCAGCAAGGAGTTACTATTTCGGATCTGTGCATATGCAGTGCTAGTATGATGAAATTCAATGCTCCCTTGGCTTATGGCTGTGCAGTGGAATCCAGTTCCTTCTGCAACCAAAATGCATCTATCCTAGAACAAGTAATTGCCTCCTCTATGGAGGCATGGAAGTACTAAAGTTCTGCTTGCAAAGCATGGTGTATATGATAAACTGAAAAGTTACACTTATCAATAAGGTTTATTAATAGAAAGAAATGAGACCGGTAGAAAAGTAAATAGTACAGCAGTCTGAATCTAAGTATTTCAGTCTGGGTTATTACAGAAGAAGCTGGTCTTTATCTATTTATCTGTTTAATTTTGTTACTACTTGTATAGAATCACATACCCTGGATCACCACAGCTAGACAGACAAGTGAGAGGTTTTGAAACTGTGTTTTCATGCTTCATGTGTAGAATGAATGTTTAGATACTTAAGGACTTAAAAACCTTATCTGCTCCCTTTTGTCCCCTCTGGTTGAAACATGGCTTTTAGTGGCAATGGATTGAGTAGCTCTAGTGCTAAGACTTTCATTTTTTAAGAGTTTTAGTGATTTCTTCAGTGGTGACTTTATTTTTCTCTCTGGTTATCTCCTGATTAACAACTTGATGCTTACTTTTTCTGACTTTGGGGGGGGGGGAGGTGAAGACAACTATGAAATAACTGTGACTTGACTGTGCTGCAATGAAACCAAATCAGTTTAATAATTTCAGTAAAGCTTCCAGTCTGAAGTTAACTTAAATCGTTGTCCCGTGAGTGACCTGTGAACCGTTATTCAATAGCCATCAGTATTTTGAATTATTATTGATATATTTTTTATAAATATTTTAGGTAACAGGAAGTCTGAAGTCATGGCTGGAAAACCCAAACTTTACTACTTTGATGGAAGAGGCAAAATGGAATCCATTCGCTGGTTGTTAGCTGCAGCCGGGGTTGAGGTTTGTTTCACCATTTTAACCTTAAGCTGCGTATTTTAAGCTCGTCAGGACACTGGTCATTAACCAAACGAGAAAAACTATCCCAAGATGCAATAGTAAATAAGTATTGGTTATTCAGCACGATTAAGTGCTATTACTTCAGGTGCACAAAAGTATGGCTTCAAGTTACGTGTCTTCTGAGACACTGCAAGCCAGGCTCTTGCTTAATGCAAGAATGCTTAATTAAGCCTTCTGTTGCTCACCCAGTGCTACTGAGCTGAACCATAGATGTGTTCCTGGCATAACGAGTATAATCCGTGCCAAGTAAAACAGCAACAAATTTGCATTCTCCAGTCTGTCTGTTTTCAGCTGGATGCTTGTACAGGGATTTTTATTTTTTCATTCAGCTTGCTGCATCCTTCAAAATGAGCTGCAGCATGAAACGTATTTTGTCCTGCTTGCTTCATGTGGATAGATTTAACAGCTTATCTTAGCCTATGTGATCCCACTTACTCTAGTTGAACATCCGTGCTGTATTTGTGTGCCTAACTTTCTGGGTTTTCCCTGCTGTAGCAAATCTTAATTATTAACACACGTCACACGCACGTTCGTAGAGAGGCTGACTGAGGAGGAACCCTTGGGAGTTCGTGTCGAGGCTTCTAGTGCTTGGTAAGCTCAATCACTTTCTAGTCTTTATGGATTACGTTGACTATAATGGCACCTTAGACATGTATGGCACACGTACATGTAAATGTCCAGCTTTGGTGCCTTAATCTTGAACTGAAATCCTCTGTAATTACCAGCCATCCTCAACCATACTGAATATAATTACATCACTCTGATCACAGGCAATGCTGTGTCTTTTGGTTTCTTATCTAGTGAATAATTCATCTTTAGGTGTCCTAAATATGCTTCTGCACTAATCTTCCTGCTTGGCATAATACTTTAACATTATTTTGTAAAAGCTTTGTTTTAACTTCCTAATAATTTGTTCCCTTGTAGCTCCTAAATCAAAATAACACACAGCTGAGCTTTTTTTCCACATGTCAGGAAGCATTTTAAGGACAGCCTAGTCCATGTTGTTGACTGTCTCAAGTTAAATTGCCTGTTCAATACCAAATAAACCATCCTCGCTCAAGGTCCTAATGCCAATTTTTCTACTAGGGCTGCCTTTAGCAGCATTTGTCAGGTGTGATAGACCAAGAGGTTTTGCCAGTGCTTCTGCCCCTTGCATTTTCTCCCTTAGAGTTATGTCTGGAATGTAGGGACCAAGATTTGTATTCTCTT